GCCGCAAACGCACTATGTTGGATTAGTCGTGACGCGGCTCATTTCATTACTTCTGAGATGATTTTGTAGACATGTTCGATCGGACAAACTTATTTAAAATTGATTCAACTTGTAGAAGTTCTTTTAAACTTAATAAATAACTTGTTACTTTTATAATGATATTAATAAGTAAAAGTAAGACTCTAATAACCAAATAAGAACTATTTGTTTTTTCTGCTAAATGCAAGGAGCGGAGCGCCCGGTCGGAAGTTAAATAGACACGAACTGGCTCAGTCGTTTATGCGCGCGCAATTTAATATAGACGGGTTGGAAACATTTTGTTGGAACCAGTCAGGAATTTGTCAGATTCATCCATTTCATTGGATGAAAAAGTAGGTCAAAGACTAGCCTAAACTACAAATGGACGGAATAAGAAGTTCTTTTAAGGCAAAGTTGAAGGTACTCGTCCTAGATGTCTGGTGACGATGTGAAGACCGCGGTATTTCTTTTCCTGAAAAATTAATTTCAGAAATACTAGCTAGATTAACTATAACATATAAAGCACGATGGCCATTGATGCACAATAAAATTAACAGAAAAAAAGATCAAGTTGGCTCTATGCAATTTTATGAAACATGCCGATAGCATTTGTAGAAACCGGTTCAAATGTATGTCAAGTGAAATGATGTGAATATTTTCACCATATGTCTTTAGCAGTTTATACAATTCAAAGGCCTTATTCAAATGTGTCACTAACTCTGCGTATTTTACCCCTTTGGTCTATAAAGGATTTATTTTCAGTTCAAATGTCGGAAGCTATAAGCTTATAGCAACACGCTCGAAACCAGTCCTGGAATCAACCAGTGTGAAGTTTCTTGCTCACGGAAACAACGGCTTGCCCCTGGTGGTGGTGGTAGCTTTTACTCAGGATCACAGCAGTAAGCCAGCCTGCATTTACCAGAGTACAGTTCAGCCACAGCACCCCTGTTGGGGATTGAACCTACATAAACGCGTTCAGCAATCCTTACATAACTAGTCTAACTATTCGACAAAGCCACTTTTGACAATATTTTATATTTGTGCGCACCGGCTTTAATTGAAGCTCACCGTTTGAGGCTGATTAATTGAGTTAACACTTTAAACTGAAGGATTGAGGATGGAAGTATCTGCAAACCAATATTTCGGCCCTTTCACTCATACCTCAAATAGATACGGATAAACTTTTTTAACATTACGAGTAATCAGCGATGTGTTCCAAATGAAATTGAAGGCAACTTAAATCGGAACGTAAGTGTATGTGGACAGCTTCAAAGGGTATGATGTCGGTTTGGTTGGAAACTGAAGCCAGAACGTAAGAACACGGGTCCAACTTTAAATGCAAAGTAAGCAGATCTGACAGAAGAAACACCAGAATGTGGTTAAACTAAAAAACGAAACGCTATGGGATTAAGGGGAGAGGGTGTGAAGCGGAGGTCAAGCTTAGAAGATATTGTGCTAATAAAAATCAGTTTGACATATTTGATAAGATAAAAAAAAACAAATATTTCAAGTATTCTTTTGTAAGAGGTCGTCAAAACAGTGGTACTACATTGTATTTTCATTAAACTGTATAATTTTTCTTTCAATTGATTTAGCACAACTGTGTTTCTATATACAAAAAGGTAAGGCACTTTTTTGTTCAAGATTTTGTTTCCCTATATTTTGTATAAGGAAAAAATGAAATAAGATCAGTTTACATTGAGATTCGCAAGATACTTGAAATAAGGTAATAAATGTTAATTTCGTAAGACGAATGTGCCAATGATTACAATTTCCTTCATATATACAACTTATTATTTTCATTTTATATTGTTGATGTCCCGTTTAATATTCATGTGTAAGGAGATATAATGTGGTAACAAGAATTAAACAAGAGCTTGATTACACAAAATCTAAATAAGAAAAAAATGTTTCCGTAAATATAGTGAAATGAACATGATGAAAAAAATCCAAACCAAACTCTAGTTTGTATGTGTCTTACGATTACTGCATAAAATCACATGTTAACACTGATGGTTTACAGTGTGAAAATGATTTCGGCATAAAACCACATATTAACATTAATTTTCTAAAGTGTGTAAAAGATCTCTGTATAACACTAATGTTTTAAAGTTTGTAAATTATTTCTGCATAAGGTTACATGTTAACACTAATGTTTTAAAGTATATTAAATATTTCTACATAAAAGCTTATGTTTACACCAATGGTGTAACGATTGTCAAAGAGTTCTACTTAAAATCACATTAACATTAATGGTTTAACTTTTGTCAAAGATTACTGCAAAAAATCACGTTTACAATAAAGTTGTAAACTGTGTCAAAGATTTCCACATAAAAATCACATATTTGCAATAAAGTTGTAGTGGGTCAAATATTTCTACATAAGAATCACTTGTTTACTCTAATGTTTTAAATGATTTCAAATATTTCTACATACAATTACATGTTTAAAGTAATGTTTTAACGTTTGTCAAAGATTACTTCATAAAAATCACATGTTTACACTAATGTTTTAACATTTGTCAAAAATTTCTACCTAAAATTACATGTTTACACTAGTGTTTTAAAGTTTGAAAAATATTTCTACATTAATTACATGTTTACACCAATACTTTAAAGTGTGTCAAAGTTTTCTGCACAAAATTACATGTTTACTCCAATGCCTTTAAGTGTGTCAAACATTTTAGCATAAAATCACATGTTTACACTTATGGTAAGATTTCTACATATAATCATATTGGCACTAATGTCAATGATTTTTGCATAAAATCAAATGTTAACACTGATGGTTAAAAGTGGTGCAAAGGTTTCTGCATACAATAATATGTTTACACTTATGGTTTAATGTGAATTAAAGGTTTCTGTATAAAATAACATTCTTATGACAAATTATCAAAAGTTTCTATATAAAATCTGTGAAATGGTTTTCTAAAAAATTACATGCTAATTTTTAGAGAACATTGTAAAATCAAATATCATGTTTAATACAGCAATTTTACGACAAATTGCTAAATGGTTACTATATGAAATTACATTTTTATGCAAATGTTTTGAAAGTGCATATCATATCATATCATATCACAAACTTACATCAAAACTGTAACATGTTGCCTAAAGGTGACTGTATGATATCATTTGTTTTCACCATTATTTTTTTTTTAAAGTGACTGAAAGATTTCTGCAAAGAAACACTTTTTTCACATGTAAAGTTACCCTTTTTGTAAAGTTTGTCAAAAGATTATTGGAATTAAATAACATAAGATGACACCAAATGTTTACACGTGGTTTACCTCGTAATCAAAATGGCAGCTTTTTATTTGTTAATCCTTGCTTGGTAGCAAAATGACTAGAAGGAATCTTTCACAAAGTTGCATTGAAACAATATTAAACAAGAGGGCCATGATGGCCCTGAGGTCGCTCACCTGTATATACCCCCCACCCCAATGTTGCAGGGCCAATTTAACCCAAGGGCTTTTATTTGCACAAACTTGGTAGACACCCATAAGAAGATGTTTCATGCTAAACATCTAAGCTCTAGCTCATTGGGCTTTTTAAAAGAAGATTTTTTTTAAAGTTAATACTATACACATATACAAAAATGTAGTTAAAAACAATGACACCCCTGGGGCCGGGCCAGTTTTGACCCCAGGGCTTTTATTTGAACAAACTTTGTAGACACTTACTAGAAGATGTTCCATGCTTAATATCTAAACTGTAGCTATTTGAGTTTTTTCAAAGAAGATTTTAAGTTTTTGCTATACACATATAAAGAAAATCAATGACCCCCGGGGCGGGGCCAATTTTAACCCCAGGTCTTTTATTTAAACAAACTTTGTAGACACTCACTAAAAGATGTTTCATGCTTAATATCTTAACTTTAGCTATTTGGGTTTTTTCAAAGAAGATTTTTTAAGTTTTTGCTACATGTATACACATATAAGGAAAATCAATGACCCCCGGGGCGGTGCCAATTTTGACCCCAGGGCTTTTATTTGAACAAACTTGGAAGACACCTATTAGAACATGTTTGATGCAAAATATCTTAGCCATAGCTCTTTGAGTTCTTTAAAAGAAGATTTTTTAAGTTTTTACTATATGCATATAGGGAAAATCAATGACCCCCCGGGGCGGGGCCAATTTTGACCCCAGGGCTTTTATTTGAACAAACTTGGTAGACACTTATTAGAACATGTTTCATGCTAAATATCTTAGCTCTAACTCTTTTGGTTCTTTAAAAGAAGATTTTTTAAGTTTTTACTATATGCATATAGGGAAAATCAATGACCCCCTGGGGCAGTGCCAATTTTGACCCCAGGGCTTTTATTTGAACAAACTTGGTAGACACTTATTAGAACATGTTTGATGCTCAATATCTTAGCCATAGCTCTTTATGTTTTTTAAAAGAAGATTTTTTAAGTTTTTACTATATGCATATAGGGAAAATCAATGACCCCCCGGGGCGGGGCCAATTTTGACCCCAGGGCTTTTATTTGAAGAAACTTGGTAGACACCCATTAGAACATGTTTCATGCTAAATATCTTAGCTCTAGCTCTTTGGGTTCTTTAAAAGAAGATTTTTTAAGTTTTTACTATATGCATATTGGGAAAATCAATGACCCCCAGGGGCGGGGCCAATTTTGACCCCCAGGGCTTTTATTTGAACAAACTTGGTAGACACTCACTAGAAGATGTTTCATGCCAAATATCTAGGCTCTAGCTCTTATGGCTTTTTAAAAGAAGATATTTAAAGTTTTTTCTTTTGGTTGCCATGGCAACCAGAGTTCTGCATGGAATTAAATTCTTTGAACAATTTTTAAAGGTGACCACCAAAGGAACATTCCTGTGAAGTTTGGATGAAATTGGCTCAGTGGTTTATGAGGAGATGTCATTTAAAGCAAAAGTTTACGGACGGACGGACGGACGCCGGACGAAAAGCGATCACAAAAGCTCACCCTGTCACTTTGTGACAGGTGAGCTAACAATATAGACATACGTTTAAAATTAATCTATTTGACAGCACAATGTAATGCCTATCTTAGAAAATATCTTTAAAAATGTCACACTAAAATTGTTTATATCTTCATATCTTCTTTTCTTCATATCATCCAGGTTATTTCCAAGTAAAAATGTAAAAGGTCTGAATAAGTAAAAAACAGACCACCTTGCCCTTATAACATGCTGGTATCAAAAACAATACATAACTAGAAGTCCCAGATGGTCCTGAGAAAGAAGTGACAACACACAGTGGTAACCGCACAATCCATTCAATGCAATATACATGTACATCGGGTGAGCAGATAAATGTATAAACCGGCATATTATACAAAGACAAACCAGTTAGTGAAAGATAATGTGAATTTAATCACATATAGTAATCAAGCCAATTTCACTTTTTTGACCCATACATGATTGTATAACACTCTGGTCTGGGATTTCTGAATATGATACGGGCAGTATACAAGGATGATTAACCAATCACATGCGGCTTACACATCACGTGCCACTCCATAGACAAAAAACCTTGTCACGTGACCCTCCTTGCCTAAAAATTGATTGTATTCAAGTTACCTTGCTTTAAGCTACACAGATTTTGCACCATTCAGCCCATTGTCATTAATTTTTTGACCTAGAGTTTCTCTAATTGTCTTTCTACGTTTCAATAGGCACAGTTTCTAGCCTCATATCTTTTAATGGTCTTCCCTCTGGTATATCGGTATCCTCCAGCTCCGCGATGGATGTGTCGTGTTCCACAGTGAACACAAGGTCGTTCTTGTATCGTCGGTACTGGTAATATCGTCGGCACGATATCATTATCCTCTTTCTATACTTGGTCACGAGAAAAACTGTCGTCATAAACACAAAACAGATAACTGCAATTATAATGCCAGTTGCAAATCTAGATGCATGGTCGTCCTTGAAGGATTTACAGGTCAGGTTCACCGAGTGCAACGTAGTGACGTTTCGTCCAAAATGAACTTTCGGTGTAGAACAAACCAACTGGGCAAAACTGGTTTTAACAACCGTATTGTTTCCAAATATAGAACTGTTCAGCATCCATTCTACTTTGCAGTCACAATTTATTGGAATTCGTTTTAAACTCACTGTCTCCATTTTCGACCAATCAAAAAGGTTTTTCGGAATGTACGTTACTCCACTTCCTTTCAAAAAGAATGACGTCACTTTTGGAGTGGACATGAACGCCGTTTCATCAATCGTGCGTAGTTGTTTACAGTTATCTAGGTCTATTGACATGACATTTGGCATTCCGCGAAAAGCATCTGGACCCACAGAGGTTAACAGAGGCATATCTCTCAACAGAAGACGTTGAACATTTTGCAAACCGTCAAACATGCCCGCGGTAACTGTACGGAACCTTGTACCGGCCATGTTCAGGTGCACAATTTTAGATAAATGTTTCCAAGTGTCTTTTGTAGCGGACGAAATATGGGTAAAATCCAGTTCCACTCTTTGAAGAGAGCCGCTAATGTTAGGAAAGACCTTGATTTCACTAATTGGGTTGCTATCCAAATATATGTCTTCCAGTACAGGTAGATATCCATTGGCTGCCTCAGATATTGATTTTATGTCATTGTCAGTTAAAAATAGAATTTTCAGTGATGTCAATGGCGTTAAAGGCTCCAGTGGGATTTCTTCTAAATGATTACTAAACAAATTCAAGGTCTCCAACGAAGATACCCCTTTGAATGCCCCCTTTTCAATTGAATTTACCCTATTGTGTAATATATTAAGAGTCGTTAGTTTCGACATGTTGACGAAACTATTCGCTTTTAATGTAGTCAGGTGGTTTGAATTAAGAACAATCTTATCCATGTTTGGCAGATTAGCAAACACGCCCGCTTCAATCTCATTCACAACGTTACTCCTTATATTTACAACTTTAATTGTTTCTCTAACAGCGTCGAACGTCCCAGGAGCAACTGTACTCAGCTGTCCATCAGTTATATACAATTGTTCTAATTTAGTAAAGTTTTCGAAATCTCCCTCCTTCAATGCAGAGATGGAATGTTGTTTTACTGTAAGCGTATGTACTGACTGCTTGTTTGTAAAGTTAGGGATGCTTGACAAGTTTGTACATTGAACAATTCCTAAATCTGCTTTGTCACATTGACAACCTGCGTCACAAACGATAAAGTTATCACTATCGTCTGCTACAGTGTGTGACGTCAACAATAACAACGTAAACACTAATAACTCCATTATGCCACCAGTCAACACATGCATTTCGTTCCTTAATTACCCCAAGAAAGGATATTCCTCACAAGTATGAAGGTAGCGACGAAGTAATGTCTTCAGTTCACTTCTAACCAGTTTTATTTATTGATCGCCATCACCGAGTGTCAAATTGTAAAACTGAAATTGAAAATAAAATCATTTAATAAAAAAACCATAGTAAAAGAAATTCGAAACTGCTGCCATTTCTTATATGTCAAGTTAAGTGTGTGACATATTTAATGTAAATGTTGACTCCTATAATAGTGACAATATCGTCAATTACATTAAACAAATATTGTCAAATCAATTAAACAGTTAATCTATATTTTTCTTGGATTCTTTTATTTATATATTTTTACATCTGTCAATTGTTAATGACCATGCAGATACCAATGTTAATGTTGTAGTAGGTGTTAGCGATAATGTGGATGATCATAAATTCATAATGGTGGTGGTGGCCTATGTGATGATAATAATAATGAAGTGACGATGATGATGATGCTAATATCCATGATAATAATGATGGTGATGTTAATTATGATGATAATGATGATCATGATGATGGTAGTAATGGTGATAATGATAATGTTGGTGACGATGATAATGATGGGGGTGGTAGTAATGGTGATAATGATGATGGTGGTAATGGTGATAATGATGGCGTTGGTGACTATGATGATAATGGTGATGGTAGTAATGGTGATAATGATGGTGGTGGTAATGGTGATAATGATGATGGTGGTAATGGTGATAATGATGATGGTGGTAATGGTGATAATGATGGTGGTGGTTATGGTGAAAATGATGATGGTAGTTAAATAGTGATAATGATGATCATGATGGTAGTGATAATCATGATGCTGGTGATTATGATTACCGTGATGGTTGTGGTGACAATAATCATGATGGTGGTTGTAATTATTATCATGATGGTGATGGTGGTGGTAAAGATGATGTTGGTGGTTATGATGATGATGATAGAAGGGGTGATTATGATTATCGTGATGATGGTGATGACAACAATTATAATATTGGTTTTTATTATTATCATGATGGTGGTGGTGATAATGCTGGTGGTAATGACGATCATGCTGATGATGGTAATAATGATAATGATAGTGGTAAATCATGTTGATGATGGTGATGGTAATGTTGTTGTTGTTGATGATGATGATGATTATGATGCTGATGATGTTGACGGTAATGATGATGATCATCATATCATGATGGTGGTAGTTGTGATGATGGTGATGAAAACAAAATTTCAGCAACCTGTCGCCCGACTACATATCGTAACTACTGATCTCAATGACAGATTGCCATTCAACATCGGACTAATTAATCAAAAAGTGACTTGTCATGTATGCCCTTTATACACTGTACATTACCTGGTCATATAAATACTGACCGTGTATGTTTATATAAGGCATATAGATCGTGTAGATCGGATTTACATTGCCAAAATTTTTAGCCTACTGGAGGCAACAGGCACTACCAATGCGACCAGTGCAGACCAAGATCAGCCAGCACATCCGTGCCGTGTGACCATGGTAGGTCTATGCACTGTTCGCTTATTGAGTCAGTACATATTTTAAAAACTTTCGCTAAAATAAAAAAAGATGAATAGTTGGCAAGATTACAAAATGGACAAGTTCATGTAAGATATTAACCCTGGCAGAGGTTAGAATGTCAATAAATACACCGTACACTATCTTGGATAATGTCTACACCTACATGAAATACTTATACTAAGTGATTTAGTACACTTTTCCTTTACAATATTACACGTTAATGTTTGTTTTATTTTAATCTGTTTCACTAACATTATATTTATCCTGTTATCACGATGGTGTTAATATCATTTAGGTACCGACTCGGGTTGTGAGTTTCTTGTGAACATATATGCGAGATCCAAGTATATATGTGACACTGTTAATATAATATAGCGATTTTATAAATCATATAATATTTAATCAAATAGAATCAGCTTCACCTTTGATATAAATAAGTCAAGAAAAACCAACATAACCACAAAATTATACAAAAGTTTTAGTTACTTTTTTCTTTCTTTATGATGGAGAATTTCTGAAAATATTACCGGGGGGAGAATATATTTTGACGTTGGGAATGCTACTGGGGTCTTTTTCAGCTATTGTAGGAAAAAGGTCCCGGACAACTATTGGAGGGAAAATCGGCATTTTGGGAAATTTGAAAAGTTGACAATCAACCTAGTATATTACTTTTAAGTTGTTTTTTTACTTGGTATGATGCCACTTTCTTTTAAGAAAGTCAAAACATTTCTATTTTTTCCTCAAAAATCGAAACAGCTTAATTTTTTGAACTGCAGTTGAATTTGTTTGTTTCTTTGAATTGGGAAAAAGAGGCTATTTTAGATTGTAGATGGGGCCATATTTCGCCCCCTGGTGATACGGTGAAAATGATCTGGGTGTCCCATTTTGGTCCAAAAAGAGTGTTCTAAAACACCGGTATAAATATATATTCATTAATTAGAGGCTTATATGCAGGTTTTATGCTTAATAAAGTTGAATTTTCTATTGAATCATTTGTTAGCAGTATCCTTTTAGACTTTCACTATATATTCTATACCATATATACCAAAAAGTGTGTAAGATTATAATTCTAAAACAATGCCATTTTATCTCGTCCAATTTTAAGTATCATATTACAGAACGACTGTTGTCACCGATTTCAACTGTTTTTCCGTCACCCTCTCTCCTAAACATATTCTACGGTGTGTGAAGGTGTGTTGCTTTAACTGTAATTGACTAAAGCCGATGACGTTTGTAAAAAGATATCTTATATTTGCCTTATTAGTCTCGTTGCTACAACAACAGTCATCATATTCAATATCGGATTCTGTACTGACTTCAGGTTGTGACTCAGGTAGTACAGTGTATATCACTTCTATACAGATAACAATAGCCGATCAATACAATGACTGGAAGTGATATTCTACTTGATCAATGCATAATAAATTGGGGAAAATGGTAAAACAGTCTTGTGTGTATGTTTTAAATATTTAATGACCAAACCGGGGAAAAACTTGGCGACAAGCATTTTCTGTGGTGTACGGTATATAATATCATCTTCATTGTACCATTATCGGCACATTCATATAGCAAATAATCTAGTAAATACATTTTGTACATGATACATTATGCAGCACCTCTGACCATTCACTATACATGTATAACTAGCAGACTCGTATTTGTCTTATTTTGAAATTTAAATTCCCATCCTTCTCCTCAATCAGTTACATGCGGCATTCCGACACCCAAAACTTTGCTCTGTCATACTTAAACACTTTTACCGAACACCTAAATTTTAGTCATGTTTCCATGAAAAATATAAACAGCTTATCGGAACATTAAAATTACCGACCCGGTTTCCTTAATAACAATACTTCCGCAATTTTTCCCCGGCCCTGCTTTCAAATTTACGCTACACTCGCCATTCTCTCATCAAAAGCCCGACTCTGCTCCTAATGTAACATCATTCCCGCATTCTCTCGACATATTAATTCCTTGTCCTGTCCCAATATAAAACAGCAGTCTAATTTTTTTCTCGACATCAAAATCATAGTCATATAACCCTCGTAGTTTCTGATTCCCTCTCCCTGCCATGTCCCCATAAAAACATAACCCTCGTAGTTTCTGATATCCCTCTCCCTGCCATGTCCCTATAAAAACATAACCCTCAGTTTCTGATATCCCTCAACCTGTCTTGTCCCTATAAAAACATAACCCTCACAGTTTCGGATATCCCTCTCCCTGTCTTGTCCCCATAAAAACATAACCCTCGTAGATTCTGATATCCCTCTCCCTGCAATGTCCCCATAAAAACATAACCCTCAGCTTCTGATATCCCTCACCCTGACATGTCCCCATAAAAACATAACCCTCAATTTCTGATATCCCTCTCCCTGTCTTGTCCACATAAAAAATAACCCTCACAGTTTCTGATATCCCTCTCCCTGTCTTGTCCACATAAAAAATAACCCTCGTAGTTTCAGATATCCCTTTCCCTGCAATGTCCCCATAAAAACATAACCCTCAGTTTCTGATATCCCTCTCCCTGTCTTGTCCCTATAAAAACATAACCCTCACAGTTTCTGATATCCCTCTCCCTGTCTTGTCCCTATAAAAACATAACCCTCACAGTTTCTGATATCCCTCTCCATGTCTTGTCCCTATTATAGCATAAACGTTTTAGTTTCTGATATCTAGCTCCTCACAATGTTCCCATAATAACTCAACTCTCGTAGTTTTTGATATCCCTCTCCCCGCCAAGTTCCCGTAATATTATAACCTTTCTGGCAGTTTTCAATATCTAGCTCCGCACTTTGTCCCAATAATAACATGACCATCGCGGTGACTGCTATATTGTTCCCAAAATTGTCCCTATAATAACATAACTCTCGTAGTTTCTGATATATAGCTCCCCAACACGTCCCATAAAACATAACCCTCGTAGTTTCTGATATATTGCTCCCCACTATATCCCAATAATAACATAACCATCGCAGTTCCTGCTATATAGCTCCCCACCATGTCCCATAAAACATAACCCTCATAAATTCTGATATATTGTTCCCCACTATGTCCCCATAATAGCGTAGCGCTCACAGTTTCTGATTTTTAGCTCCCCGCTATATCCCATTTATCATAACCGTCGCAGTTTCTGATATATTGTTCCCCACTATGTCCCTATAATAACATAACTCTCGCAGTTTCTGATACCTAGGTTCCCCACTATATCCCATTATAACATAACCCTCGCAGTTTCTGATATATAATTTATACCCACGAAACAAACTGCTCTCGCAGTTTCTGATATCTAATAACAACTTTCATGTCCCAATAATAACATATCGACATCTAGGCATAACTTCCCCATAATAACATGATATATATCTAGATTAAGGTCTCCGTCCAGGTCCCTATAATCAGTTTACTACTTTGCAGTCATTCAGTTTTAGCGTTGGAGTTCCATCCTGACAAAATTGTTTTATACGTTTTAGAATTTTCATTGAAGATTTCTTTATTGGCAAGATCTTAAAGATTACAAATGTATATTTCGCATTTAGTTATTTACACTAGGTAATCGCATTAACTTTTCAGTCCAATACACATTTATGAATGCATATTTTATAAGCGAATACGTACAAACTCTAATGACCCTCTAGGTATTCCATAGTATATACATTTAAGGTGTTTTCCATAGGAACTCGAGAACGGGACCGCAGATTGCGGCGTATATTTTCGATCTTGTAACGGTTTTTAAAAACGTTTCTGCTACATTTAAATATCTTTTAGTACTATCCGAGTGTATGGACTCAAAAAATATATTATCAATTGAACCCAATCTGTCTCTTTTAAAACTGTACTTTTTTTCAATATACCGTAAATTTGACTGATTTTTAAATTAGCAGATTATATTTAATTGAGATTAGATAATTAAAGACCACCCGCTCGCATAATATGAAAAGATATTCAAGGGTCGGACAAACAATATGTAAAGCCGGTACGGATTCGGATTTATGCGCCGCAATATGCGGTCCTGTTCCAGAGCTCCTATGGTGTTTTCTACAAAATCATACAGTCTTCAGTCGCGTGATTAGTTTATATAAATTTTAATGACATTTCGTGCTTCTTTTACAACCGATAGCACACATTTTCACTTACAACTTAATGCAAATTGTGACTCATTTATGAAACTCGTTATCAGAGACAATCGCTACATACACAAAAAATAACGCCAAGTCACTGTCAGTGATTGAAAAAAACAACAACAAAAAAAACAAACAAACAACAATTAAACATTCGAAAGGAAAAATAGAAATTGTGGTGGAAAAAAATCCCGACCTTCACGATGTTAATATGTACGCTACATTTTTACATCACTGCTGTATATGGTATAGATATTAACTTAACCCACACACCTGCATGGTCGATAACACTTAAACACCTGTATACAGGTAAATGCATTGTTAATGCACCTTAAAACTCGTACATTTTATTAACTTCCGGAAAATCAAAATCCAAGTTTTCATTGAATTATAAACCAAATTTGCATATCTTACCTTGAGTCACAACAATGATAAATAAATCTTAGCTTATTTCACGAAAGCTGTTACCTTTTATTATCCGCCATTTTGTTTTACGGTTTATTGACGACATGGACCTGTTTAGGATTACCTCCCTTTACAAAAGTCAATAAATAAATTGATTGATTTTAATACTGTATGTAGCGGTGTAATATACATGTATAACACGACGTCATTGTATTAAAAGTAAAGAAAAATGATCAAGATTACAAAATTCTGTTTAATTCAATAAAATACACTGACATATATGGAGTAGTTGCTGCAAGTAAAAAAAAAACACATTTTATTTTAAATACGTTTGAAAAAAATGTAAAAGAAATGTAAGCTAAAACAATTATAAGATATGCAATGGCCTGACTTCATATGGAAATAGAATGTTTAGATTTTGAGCTTGTTTTTAACTTGACGTTCAAGGGAGCCCTCGTTGGTCTTCTGTGGTTGGCGCACGCGATAAAACCCGCCAATCTGTACATGTGAGTAGGTCATGTTGATCCAGGCAGAATGGGTTATCCTGTTCATAGTGAACCTGAAACAAATAGGAATCATGCCGATTAACTTTAAATAACCGATAAATTTAGAATGATCGTAAAATTTTAAATCATCGATTAATTTAAAAATCGCCGATTAATTAGAAATATCCGATAGAGTTAAATCAAAACCACCGATAAATTTAATAAACACCGATATCTAAAAGTTTAGATCACCGACAAGCTTGATATTTCCGATAAATTAAAATCAAAATCAGCGATAAACTTAAAATCTCCGATAAACTGATACTTTAGTTATTGAAAACATTTATCATTAAACGACACATAAAGGAGCAAAGTCATACACACAATAAAGCGCACCACAATCATATCATCTAAATGTTTAAATTATCCCGAAAGACCAAATAATAAGATGTAAAATCAAAACACATTGAATAGTGTAGATATCGGTAATCAAAATACAAATGATAATGCACAAAAAAAATGGTTGCTGTTCAAAAAACATGACTTTAAAAATAGATAAGTACTTAACAAACCATGTTAAAAGTCATTTACACCTTGCATTACAATTACATTACATTACAAGGCACATTATGCCTCATTCTTTCCAAAAGTGCAAGCATGCGTTTTATAACGTTGAAATAATATGGTTTTAGAGCATGTTAGGTATTGTTACCTGAATAAAGTAGCGCTGAATGTGAAATTATTTTTCATAAAAGTAGTAAAATGTAAAGAAAATAGAATTTTGTCTGTCATACAAAATCCAAAATCACTATAACTGTACTAATTGCCAAAAAGAACCAGAAGAAAAATGGTTCAGGTAATTGGCTATATGTAACATTTTGGAAACTGTAAAAGTACACCAAAATGAAAAGCTTTTGAAAAAATCAAAACTTTAAGCAATTCTGGGCCGCATAATAAGCCTTTAAGTATGTACTAGTAACTTTAAAAAGTAATACACTCTATACTAATACACCCTTAACTATTTACGTTGTTAAAATGTTTTTGTTTGTATAATTGCAGTATAAGTAACAAGGAAAACCAGGGAAGGTAAGTATGTCAAACTTCTGTGAACAGAATAGCAAGAGAGTTTACTTACGCCATATTCTGTGAAAAGAACATAAAGGAATTTAAGTTAGGTCAAGATCTGTAAAACAGAATGTCAGGTTAGTTAACTTAGGCCATATTCAGTGATCATAAAGTTAGAATAGGTTATTTAGGATATATATCTATTATGTGAACAGAACTTCGGGAGTTAAATTAGGTCATATATTGTGAACAATAATGTAAAGGGAGTTAACTAAAGTCATATTCAATGAACATAAAGTTGGAATAGGTCATTTAGGTCACATTCTGTCATAATGACATAATGTCAGGGGAGTTAACTTAGGTCATACTCTGTGTTATCTTAGGTCATATTCTGTAAGCAGAACACAAAGAAAGTAATTTATGTCATATTTGTGAACAGGACCTCGTGAGAGGTATTAACTCAGGTCATATACTGTAAACATAATGTCAGGGGAGTTAACTTAGGTCATATTCAATAAACATGCATGGTTAACATAGGCCATATTCAATGAACATAAATTAAGAATATGTCATTTTGGTAATATTCTGTGAACGGACCCAAGGGAGAGGTAACTTATATACAATGAACATAATATCAGTGGAGATAACTTAGGTCATATTCTATGTTCTTTTAGGTCATATTCTGGGAGAAGAATGCAGTAGAGATTACTTAGGTAACATTCTGTGAACAGAACACCTAGAAAGGTAAGTCGGACCATATTCTGTAAATAGACCGTCGAGGAGTTACCTTAGGTCATATTCTCTTCACAGTAGATCAGGATATGTAGTTTATGTCATATTCTGTGAACAAGACGTCAAGGGAGATGAATTGAGCCGAATTATGTGAATAGAACGACACATGTGTCAATTTAGGAGTAGTGTGTCATATACCATGAACATAACGTCAGGAAAGGTAATTCAGCCAAATTATGGACAGAACGGTTAAGAGTTACCTTAGGTCATATTCCATGGTCATATTCTGTGAACAAAACGTCAAGGCCAAATTATGCGTGGGTAACTTGAGATGTATTTTGAGGATCATGTTAAAACTAAATATTTCCTCGTAATAAATGAAAAAAGTATAAAATAAAAGATCATACTAGTGAAAAATAAGAAAATGCAACGCGAAATAAATGGATAGATCATTGACTAGGATTGTGATATTGTGGCGTGAGTAGTATTATTACTTTTCCGAGAAATGTTAAATCATGATTTAAAAGTTTTCAATCTGTGACGTAAATAGTGATCTAAATCCTTAATTACTTAATGAAAACTGATAGTAACTGTGACATATATTATTAAAAAACATGTGTACATGTGTATGTATATATAAAACATATAATTGATCAAAGTGAAGTAAAGAAAAATATATTCTTTCTAAGCAAAGAAATATATATCTTTAACAAAACAGTCATGATAATAATGTACATTTGATAATGTCCACCAACCTTTTTTGTTTAAACATAGTTTATTTCAAGCAAGTATACGCATTTACAAATAAAACTTTAGAACACATGAAATGCATGAAGAAAGATCAGAACCGAAAGCTGATGCTTATATAGGTCTTATCCTAGTATTTATTTGCTAAACATTGGCAGTGTGTATACGTATGTACATGGATATGTATGAAAGTATAACGAGTAAATTTGTAATTCTAAGAAACCAACCAACCTTGTCTCTGGTTTGTACGCAAGCATGCCCTTTGTTAGACCTTTTAACTCCTTGGTAAGTGCAATAAGTTTAGCGTCTGGAAAGCGAATCTCCTTGGATGCGTTTTCGATGATGTCACCACGAATTGTTCCCAGAGGGGTATGACCTGTGCAGACGGAATAGAGCAGGGCGCCAAGAGACCAAATATCCGCCTGCTTAGGGTTAAACGCTGATTTTTCCAAGATTTGTGGTGCTTGATAACCTTTAAAATAGTGTTTAAAGAAATAATATACCTTAAAAATGAACGCTTCATGTCATGACAAAAACGTGCATTTTGAATTGGAAACTAGAACTATGGCACGACAAATAAGCATTACAAAATATTGATTGTAATGAATTTCAGCGCACTTTAATTCAGTTGCTCCCATTTAATCAATGTGCGCTGTATCAACTTCACAATAATAAAAAACGAATTTCAAAAAAAAATAAGTTTTATTATGGTGTGATAAGAATTTACAGACACTGTTTGCAAGAGATGCTAAGAGAAACATAGTTAAAAAAATGGAATCCCTAAAGAACGCCCAAAACGACATGAATTTAAATGTTGCAGTTAAGTCTGCTCTTGGAAGAGCAAAGATTTAAACTTACCGAGTGACCCGCAGTCATCCTCGCAGAGTGGATCGGAAGGCGAGAATTTAACAGCGTGACCAAAGTCACAGAGCTTGGTTACGTTGTTCTGAGAGATGAGCACATTCTGGGGACATATATCACGGTGGGCATACCCTTGACTGTGAATATAGTCTACGGCTGAATGAATCTGCTTGAAATAACGTTGAGCAACTGTCTCCGGCAAGAATCTCGCTTCCTGCAATTATGCATTCATTTCATATTTGATTATTTCTGTATGGTAATCAAATTCAATTCAATTCAATCTATTTATTGCATAAAGCATGTAACATATTTATATTGAACAATACATGAAATACAATGGAAATGTATGGATTTTACTTATGCTTATACAATAATAATTGACAAAAAATTTCCTAAAATGTGAGTCCAGTAACAATATGCCATTGTTTTTAAAGTATTGCGGGAATAGTAACGGGTCCGTTAATTGTGTGCATGGAGGGAACTGGAGATAAAATTGTACCCTTACTGCTATAGTATTTGAAGAAAATAAACAATTTATTGATCATTACATAAATTTATGATGAAAAAATAAGTAAAAGTATGCCATTTTATCCATATATATAGGTACTAAATTGTGCTAAAAACTAAGTTAAAATACATTTTTTTTCTCTAAAGGGGGGACATTCCCAAAGGTACGCGGAAAGAACTGTTTAAAGACTAGAATATGGTCCATTTCTAGCATAAAATACTGTCTAAACGTATAACAATACTAGAATGTCTCAAAAGTAATGCATTTTGTACATTGTATAAATTTGTAAGCATTAAAGTCACCCGCCTCCAGATAGAAAAATGGAAATAAATTCAAGTAAAAGGAAAATACTGGTCTATAAAGTTAGTTTTAACATATAATTATTTTTTGTTAATACGAGTCGGTTTAAGATTTAAATCCTTTTAAAAATTTTGCCACAACATCTTGTCCTAAATAGAAACGTAATTGTCGTATGCCTTTGAAGTGAATATTAATGTATTAAAAATAATTTTGATATTTTCTGGTAAATACCTGAAGTTTTAGGAGCTGTTCTAAGTTTCCGTTTTCGCAGAACTCCATCACTGTCCCGACTCTTCCGTGATAGCTGATGTTACTGATCCAGGCAACAATGTTGGGATGATTGAGTTGGCGGTGAATTGTCATTTCATCCAACATGTCCGTCTTGGACGGAGACCTGTTCCGGCGAGGTTTGCCGCTGTTCAGCTTCAACGCTACAGGCACCGTCTCGCACTCCTGGAAATGTTGCAGTTTGTGTAAATTCTGTGCCATAATCACGGTGCCAGATCGAGCTTTAGCCACGACTTGCAATGGTTTGTAGCCAAGGAGTTCGAGGTCAACTATGATACCGTCGTAGTACAAATTCCCGGTGCGGATTGGACGCTGTGGGTACTTGCTGAGAGGAACCGGATACCTGTGGGACCAGGCGTCTCCAAAGTCGCAAGAACTTTTATAAATATCGTAGCTTTGTGGCGGGGTAACATCCGTGTCGCTTCCTTCCCCCGCAACAAGTGCTACATATTGATGAACGCTCGTATTCTGGAAGTCGCCGCTAGGGGAAGCTGTTGGCGCTCGAAGAAGAGTTTTAGAAGCTAACACGCCGCTAACTTGCGCTGATTCTTGAGTATTGTCGTCGCCACTAACATGGTGATCCATTTTTCTCTTCTTTAATTCCGGTTCAATATTCATTTTGTTCGAGCAATGGCCGAAGCATATCTTTTTTGTTTTAACTTACGTTTTTTTCACAGTCTCAGCAAACTTGTATGTTCATCGTCTTGACGACGTCCTAGCTATGACGTCAATTAAACAACGTCGTCACGTCTCGTTCTCGTTAAAAAACGTTGTCCGACTCAACAGCGATACTACATTCATTGTGGAATAACAAGATGCTTCCCGAGTTTATAAAGGATATTTAAGTGTTTTTTTCTATAAATACATGATTTATTTTCATTGAGTGGTATAAAAATGAATATTTCATGAGTGGCGGTAGCCACGAGTGAAATATGGTAATTTTCATGCCAGAAGATGAAAATAAATCATGTATTTATAGAAAAAACTTGAATTTCTGTTTAATATATACATTTTTCTCTTTTTTGACATTAAAATTTAAAATACTTGTCCTTAAATGTTGTGTACTGGCAGAATTTAAAAGAAAGTACATGTAGTCCGGCAAGACACCAGTGAAAATACGGAAAATATGTTTCACTGCAGTGAACAATTTATTTTTACAGTAAAAATACGGAAAATGAAAATAAGCATTTTATTTCATCAATATTTCATTTACAAGTATATAATAAATAAATTTATCTAATATAAGATTGATCTCTATGTAAACGTTAAGTTTCCAAATGGTTACTCATTGACTATAATTAAGTCTAAAAAGGCTTGTCTACGGCAAAATTTCATCTAAAAATTCATTTTCACATGACGTCGCTTGTTTTAATTTAATCTAATGTAACAAATGGGTTTTTCTTTAAAGATGAATTGTACAATCCAGTTTTTTGTTGATTTGGTTTTACGGCGCACGGACAAAATTTAGGTCATATAGCGCCGAAACAGGAAAGATGATTTCGGCTACCCTCGAGAGCAACACCAGGAGTCGAAACCATCGGACCTGCTGGAGGAAAGAGATGCTAAGACTTTAATAGTTCGAACCCATTTAGTTGCCTCTAGATCACACGAGGGAAAAAGGTGGCTGCAATTCGTATGCCAAAAAGAAATCAGCGATATTGCCCGTTAAGAGGTGATTTTGTCGTCGATTTTTGGCATTTTTCTGGCTTAATTATATCACGTGATACAAAGAATCTACAGAGACGTTATTTCATACAGACGAAGATTAAAATCATTCTTGGTCTGCTACGACATACGACCAGGTGCTGACCATGGTTACCGTCACGTCCATGCCGCCTGATCATGGTCGGCACTGTTGGTATTTCAATCAGTACATATTTTAAACAATTGATTTTATATATGTAGGTATTTGTTGCTATATTAATATTCTGTGACTCATATTGACATTCTGAAATTTTGGAGTAGTTTTGTTAATTGTTTAAATTACCATACTTAATTTCTTAAATAATGTAAATATGTTATAACCGCCACGGTAACTTGCGATGAACATGTACTTGTCTTTGCCAATAAAATATTCGACTTGCTTTGACTTTAAAACTTTCCCTGATTACACGATGAATGGCTTCGTTCAGATTGAAAGGCGGATAAGTTTATTTAAAATAATTATAAAGCGTGGTCAGCGTTCAAGGCTTGTCACGCGACCGCTTCTTCCCGCTTTCTATTTATTCGGGCTTATTGTTTTATAGAGGTCTTTCTAAAATGACGATTAGAGTAAAATTCTATACTGTATATGTAATTAGTAATATTACTCATATTAAGCCTCAGAAATGCTGCCATTTCTTTTTCTCAAAAACATTTTAATTTTTTTTGGTATCTTATTACGTTTAAAAAAACTCATTTGCCATATATGTAGATGAACTATCTTACTAGATTCTATATTGGTCTTTTTGCTTTGTTGTCAATTGGTATAATTCTAGCGAATTACTATTTTATACAGAAGTCAAAATACAATTTTGTTTACATTTTGCTTCCTTTACAACACATTACTGCACATTAAGCGCTACTTTCCTCAGTTGTTAACATCAAAATTACCCTAAATCCTTTATTAAAACATTATTTAACATATGACTGACATTTCTAAAGAATTTTTTAAATATGGATTTCTGAAGGAACGTGTGCCTTTAAATACTTAATACATGGAATAGGTACAATCCCAGCATAATGCCAACACTTCCACTTATAGAAATTTCCTAATACATGTTGTATTTTGGCGCCAAAATTAAACCACAACCGCACGTTGACCTGGCAGTGCAGATAAAAAAAGATTATTTTCCCCGCAATCACATGCTATGGTAAAGGGGGCTAGGGGTCGAGGTGGACTTGTTGAATAGAACAGCTAACTAAGGCATCATTTATACATGAACAGTCGAGGTGGACTTGTTGAATAGAACAGCTAACTAAGGCATCATTTATACATGAACATAAAAGTCCCAGTTTATTAAAGATTGCTTCCTTTCTTTATACATTGTAAATGGTAACTGGGAACGAGTGCAGATGGTCTTGTGTTTTTAAACTCCTTACTTGCTGACTTTTGAGAAGTTGATTTGCATAGCTCTGATTTTTTTAATATAAAGCCTGGTGTGGCATAAAATCCAAGGAAAGTAAAATAAATACATGTAAATAAGTTGAACTCTGAGATACAAAAATTTATAGTCAATCACCAATGCGTTCACTTAATTACCGTTAACAAAATCATTATTTTTACAAATACATTTATTTCATATCATAAATAGTAAAAATATTTCTTGTTACATGTATATCATATGAAGTCATGGGGAAACTTTCAAACATGATGAAGACATTAATAATATTATCAAACTTTTAAATATTGTGACAAACTAAGCTTGAAATTTTAACAAATCATGCATTTGCAGTGATGAAATACCAGATGAAATAACAGATCTTAAAATTATATATCATATAAACAAACAGTAACAGATTATGTTCCTTTATAATTTTAATGTAATTGCATTCTACAAAAAATCATCTTCTAACAAAGTACCTTTAAAAAAATCCAACTTGATATTTGTTTGAAATACACCCAATGATTATCTATTGTTTTTGTTACTAAACTTGAACACATTTACTTCAAATTTATAAACCAAAAAACAACTGGAAAATTATTTCAAGCACTCTCAAGTCTACTTCAAGTTTCAGGAAAAACACAATACTTTCCTGGTGAGCTCATCTTTTTCATAATGCTGTATTAACCACCAAAATGAGACCATTCATAAAAATGAAGTTCCGGTGCCACCGGACTGAAACCGCGAACCCAACTCTCGAGATCGTTTAATGTAAGCTTGTTTCTGAGCATTGTCAAATCTGTTCACTTTGAGATCAAGGTCACGGTCAAAAGGTCGCCTCTCCTCACCTTTATCTTTCTTCTTCTTTTTCTTTTTCTCTTCCTTTTTCTGAAAAGAAAAAAAAATACATTTAGCAATGTTATAAAATTGTCATTCAGAGTACAGTAAAACTTCTACAAAGTAACACCCTTTGGGAGACAACGGTTTCGACTGTTGATGACAGGTGTTATGATAACAAGATCACAAACCAACACAGTTTATCAAAACATGTTTCACTTTATCAAAGCTGCATGCCTCCAGATGAGCGAAAATTATTTCAATAAAAGAAAAACGTACTAAGATTTTAGGGAAAGTAAAAATATTCAAGATTCAAGTAATAATTTACATGTTATGATTAATGACTGATTATTAGGTATTTACATGTATAACTATATTTCTAATACGTTACTAATGCAGTAAAGGCTATTTTGTCATATTTTGTCCTCTTTTTAGTCATTAACGTGGGTTGTAAGTGCCATTGATAAAGTGTAAGGTTATTTCAATAAATAATACGTTTAAACATATTTTCAAAATTTTCATGAAAATTAGAATGAATCTGGAGGCATGCTGTTTTAAGCTTCATTGGTAGATAAAATAATTAGTTGCCTTTAGTTGTTATACAAAGTTTAATTTATTGTTAATTGTTACTTCAGAAACAAACAATACTCCATTTTCTTTAAAGAGGTTATTACACTTTAAAGAACCACTCTTCAAGGGTTTCACTGTATACCAATTATCAATATTTTATGTCCTTTTGGTGTAATGAACTGCATTAATGTAAGGGAAATTATTTCTAATTTAATGTTTTTATCAAGAAGTTTACAAATACTCAGGAAGAAATAGTTTTGTCAAATGAATATTATCTCTAATAATCATCTCAATATTTGTTTTAAAGTGGATTCAATTGGTCTACAATGAGCATATTTTTTTCATAAGTATGTCAGATATTGATAAAAACAATAAAAATATATTATATAACATTTGGATATTGTTGTAACAGGATGTTGATAAGAGTTCTTAATTGATTTAGTATGATCATATATCTGATGAATACTAATATTTTGTTCTAGAACACTTTTCATCTGCTATATATTTATATGTCATATCACATCATGTATGCAACACTTACCAACAAAATTCATTTATACTTCTTTTGCAGACAAGGGGGTAATTCATATTCTGGAGTGGGTTTGGCATTTTTATAAGTTTCCGACAGAGGGTCATTATAATACAATTAATGACTAGTGTGCCATTGAATATGATGTGATATTCACCGGCAGATGACATATTGACCAAGGCGTAACTTTTAACTATAATTGTAAAGTAACAATATTTTAATTGAGAAATATACCATAAAGAACAAAACGCAACAATTATATTTTAATAAGCACGCGTTATTTACAGTCTAAGATATATGGTCATTGAATATGAGACTCAATCTATTTTTAGACTTAGAAAATCCAATTCAGCCAGTAAATATGATACTAAACCCAGTGAATATGATTCTATAAAAAGTTCTGTTGACTACTGTTTGGACCAATGAGATTGCAGCTATATTTAGATCATATTATAATCAAATTTATGTATGATTTTCACTAAAAGAACATATAAGTAAATATCCAAACCTTTACGTTAATATTATATTTGATGCATATTTTGAAAAACAGAAAAGTGAAATCCTAGAGGGGTCATGATTCTCTTACACCCCTCTGGATTTGCACACATGGAGTATTTTTTTTTATTTACATAAAGAATGATATCTACCGTATTACTTCAGTGGTAAGAGAAATTCTATTCACATCACTATCTTCAAAACATGAAGAAAGATTATTGTATATATACATTGTATTATGTAAGTGTATACCTTTTTCTTCTTCAATTCCTTCTTGTGCATGTCCAGCAGAGACTCTGGGCGATGTTTTTTCTGTCAAAACAAAATAAGACATCATCTCTTACTATCCATACATCAAACGCAATAGGATGTGCCCCTTGATGGCAATACTTACAAGTGTCATCATAAACAATCTATGAAATTTAACATCAGACTATGATGGGAATGCTGACAACTATTCTAAACCTAGACATGGGGGTGAGTCATATTTTCTACTTGACTTTTATTCTACTTAAAACATATCTAGCACAAATGCTTAATTGCACTGTCCTATTTTTTTAATCAGTGTGTTAATCTATTATTTCCTTTTGAGATTTGGACGCAACAAGAAATAAAGGCATACATTGAGTACAAAGTTTCAAAGAAGATGAACTAACTGAACAGTAGCTGTTCAAGAAGGTGTATGACAGGCCACAGAAGTAAATGACATCATGAAGACACAAAAATCTCCCTAAATTATTCCATTAATTTCATACAGAAGAAGCAGATTTTTTTTCTTACATTATATGCTTCAATTTCTTTTGTTGCTTGTTTGTCTTTGTCACTCTTGAAATGATGATTCCTGTCCTTCTTCTTGTTCTTGTCATCCTATAAAATACAGGCATGATAAAAGCATTTAATTTTCATTTTTTGAAAAATTATTTTTGGATTGTTTTTTTTTTTGCACCACACAGTATAGATTATATGGCAACTTTCTATCTATACTGGAAGAGGAAGAACTCAAGTGCTCCTCTGTGTATTATTTCAGGTACAAATGGCACCAGAGTAGAACCACCATCGTTCCCTAAGCTAGCTGGATAGGTTCTTCAAATCAAAAATTTAAAGTCCCTATTGAAATTCAAACCCACAGCAGTGAGGGGCAAGTGGTTTGAAGTCAACAACCTTAAGGCTTAACCAATCGACAATGGATGCCCCAATTATTAAAATATTGTGCAATTTAAAATATATCAAATTTTATTGGGACGTACTTCAAACATTTTTCATGCATTTTAATACACAGATATGTCAATAAGCCCTTCAGCATGGTAAACATTTTCCACAAATATTGTGCTGAGTGAAATTTCCCTAAGCACAAAGACTGAAGCTCAGCCCACTGACTTAAACTATGTGAACATTTTCAAATCTGTGAACATTAAGTCTACACAATTACCGTATGCATAATTATACTGACCAATATTTTACAACTTATGATTCAATATCTTGTTCATTACCTTATTTTTCTTGCCCTTCTCATGTGGTGCCTCTGTCCAGCTCGAATCTTGTTCGGGGGCATCTCTCGCTCTAAACTGTCTGTTGCTCAAACCAAAACTAGCACCCATCTGCTCTGGTAATTCTGTCATCCAACTTTCTCTCTGTTTCGGTACTTCAGCCTCATCTGTCTATAACAGAAAATTACAAATTAGTCATTTAAATTAATGTCTTTAACTACATGTGTAGTTAAGAAGAAAGGAAAAGTAAAATGTAAACTTGCATAAAAGATATCAGTCACTCTAATTGTACATTAGTTTATACAAATTTATTTTAGTTTGATTGTGTTGGAAGCTATAAGCTTATTGAAACACTCTCGAAGAATTGTACATTGATAACCAATCTGTATTTGTTACTTTATATTATACACTAATTTCATTTTCAGATCATGTCAGAAAGTACTATGCCTATTCGATGTTATTGATATAACTGTTGCTCTACTCAGGTACCCTTTTATGTTTCAAATCATTTAATGCATTGAGGGTTACTTCAGGTCTTCCAACAAGGCTACGAACTTTCCACATAACCTCATCAGCCGTAACTGTTACTTATAACCCAATTGTAAGTGCAATTCGGAACTGAATATCAAATTTCATGAGGGAAATGAGGAATCCTTTCTATTTCTTGGCCTAAAAAAAATTGAAAACCTAAGATTTTTAGTATTATGAACACAGTGCAACATCATTAAATTTTCATGTTTATAAAATAAAATCATAAATTAAGTTTCACATGCTATTAACGCCTTAAAAAAACAACAACAAAAGCGAAACATTAAGCAAAATTACTGTTGTGGTTGCTGTTAATTTCTGTTTCATTTTCATAGCTCTAGCTTCAAACTCATTCACTGCAGAAAGGTCATCTTGTGAAGCCTGCAGACCTAAACTTGGTCCTATTACTTCATCATCATCACTTCCTTCACTATCTTTCTGCATATTGCTATCACTTTGAGGTAGCGAAGCACCTAGTTCTCTAGTGTTTTTATCCAGTGGTACAGTCTGTGATGATGAAATGTCTTTTGCCCTTTCGGATACATGTGATCGCTTTATTTTCTTTCTATGCCTACAATTTGAATCACTGTCTGAAGATGATGATGATGATGATTTTGAGTCTGAATCTGAGTCTGAACTATACTTGGATGAATGAGGAAAATTTGATGGCAAAACAGGGCCTATAACTTTAGCACTTTTTTGTTGTTTACAGGTGGATGGTGCAGTTGAATGTGGGCTGTTAGAGGTAGGTTTGGTGCTGGCAGGAGGTAAACTCGGTCCATATTGGTCGTCATCATCATCACTGTCATTGGAAGCTTGCTGCATACCTTCATAAATATAAATCAATAAAATTTTAATACTAGAATTATACAGAAACCTTAAAGCTGCATGGCTCTGGATGAGCCAACATATTTCAAGAAAATCAAACTTGAGAAAAATTCACTAGAGAAGTACAATAATTTTCAAGATTCTATATCTTATATTCAAGTAATATTTCATTCTCTTTCACAGTGTCAGATGTGCAAGTTATACTCAATCCTCTGAGTCACTCTTGGTACACATTTCTCACACAGTCACTCTCTATTTTATGCAAAAATGCTTTTTCAGTGTTTTAAGTGGATTCCTCAATCCTCCAAGGATTTTGCATATTCCTTATTCTCTGTACTATAAGCCTACCAACTTCTGTCAAAGATACTAACAATATTTCAAGGGACATAGTTAACTGGACAAGCAATTTGAGATTGGCACTGCATTATCTTATCCTTAGACACAAGCTTTGTGAGTGATTGGGATTACATTTTTACATTTACACTTTGGGATGACATCCCCAGTGTCAATACTCACTGAAGCTAAAAACTGAGAATACACCGATTAATAGTTTCCGAACTAGCAGACAACAGGCTATTCCTTAGTATCAGTAGTTTTTCAAGTAAAGAAAACTGGTAGCCTATCTCACTTTATAAAATGTATGTAAAATGGTCTGACATATGGTAGGTTTAACAGTTACTTTAAATACTTTGGTGTTAAAAGGTGTGTTGAAGTAATACTGTGACGAAGCTAAGATCCAAAGCTTTCTATGGATGTAATAAATTTTATAATCAGACAATTAATCACAACAAATTAATGGTAACTGTTTAAAAACTATTTAACTTTTATTGTTTTAGCATTTATAAGAGATATTGATTTTACTCAAAGATAAGGGAAACAACAGTTATTAGTATTTTTCACTTGGTTATTAACATGTACATACTTCATATCGAAAGTATTTATAAATGGGTGTATTGCCCCTTATAAAAGATGAAAACAAACAAACATTAATTAGTTTTAAGTTGTATAAAACCCGCACGAGTATCGGACCTGGGAAGAAAATATGACCACATTGAAAAAAAACCCTCTGTGTTCATCTTAAATGTGTCAAAAACCAAAAATAAAAAAAAAATAAAAAAATTTTAGCCCCATTAAAGATATACTATAAGTTTAAAGTATATATTTAACGGGGCTCAATTTTTTTTTTTTTTTTTTTTTTTGGTTTTTGACACATTTAAGATGAACACAGAGGTTTTTTATCAATAAGGGCTGGCAAAATCTGATTTTGACTTACTTAGATTTTGCCTGCCCTGTCAATGGGGTCATATTTTCCTCCCAGGTCCGATACTTGTGCCTAAGTATAAAACTGTATAAAACTGTATTTGTTGTTTCTTGATTTTGAAATTATTGTACATATTTTGATTTAATTGATTACAGAATACCTAGAGTGAAAGAAATTTGTCAGTTCACATGTATTTTTTTTGAACACTCTTGAAAGCAAGTGTAGCGTCCATTAGTTGAAATCATCTCCAAACCTATTATAATAGCAGCAGAATATTTTGGTTCGGAATATTTCATTCTGTTAATGGCAATATTCATGTATGTTATATTACCAAGACATTCTATGTTACAAATCTTAAGCTTTTGAAAACAACATAATTTTTCAGTTTTTCAACTTTTATAAAAAATTTCAACAGATACACGTAAAGCTTTAAAGACCCTCAAAAATTTAAGTATTAAATTTAACATAAAAAGGTTTATTTGGGGGTTAGACAAAGCAAATACAACATGGTACGAATTGTAGAGGGACGGATTAATTAAAATGCGAGCATATTAAAGGACGAATAAGACTGATCCCAAAAAACAGTTTTTACTATCTTCTTGCTCGTTTTTTTTTTATCTTTTACCTGGTGGTAAAGAAGGTCCATAAATATCTTCGGTACTTGACATTTTGGCCTGACAAAGCACACATAAATAGCAAATAGTTTTTAATTTTGTTTCAAATCAGTCTCAATTACACAAACGCTTTCAAAACTTAAAAAAAGCTTCCAGTGATACAGATTAGAAAAACAACTTGTGCAATTTTCAAAACTTCTAATTTATCATTTCGACATGCCGAAAAACAAAGGTGGCGGTGGTGGTGGTGGAAAAGGTGCAAAAAGTAAAGGGGCAGAGGGTGGTGGCGATTCTCAACAGAAACAAGCTAAAGGAGGAACAGCAGTTAAAGTAAGTGACATAGATTTCGGATAATATATTTTTCGGATAAAACTGGATAGACTGAACTGTTAAATATTACTCAGAATATGCCCCACTTATTGAATGTTATTGGTCATTGATAATGGAAAAGATATACTCACTAACAAAGTTCTATGCTCCTGCGTTTATGAATAAATTATGCAAATAAGCCAGGTTGAGCCACCGTTATTTGACCGGCTGGAATAAAAACTACCATGACGGTGACAATGCTGGATATGTAATGAAAATTACGCCGTGTAGTGCAAAGATTTTATGTAATGAAAATTACGCCGTGTAGTGCAAAGATTTGGACATTGCAATTAAAATTAACACTTACGTTGACTCAAACTGTTCCTTGTCAGCAAAATTGAAACCGAAAGTAGTGGTTGTTCTAGAACTTTAAATCGAATAAAATGGGTGGGATTTAACCACCGCGCATGCCCTGTGCGAACGTATTGTTTACATCCGGTTGTAGCATAGGGTAAGAGTGCAAACTTTGTTAGTGATACTCTAAAGATGGGACATTTCAAATGAAAATATTGAAGAATATTTTTTAAAAAATCATAATATTATACCGCAGTATAGGTCCAAAAAAAATATTGCAAACCAAAAAGTAGCCTAACTAATTCGGTTTGATGCATTTAACAGATAATTTTTTTTCCTACTGTCAAACTGTTTTCCTTCTGTCAAAACATTACAATTTACATAGCCTGATATCTCTATGACAAGTTAAATTAGTTGAACTAACCAAAAATTGTACCTTGAATGGGAAAGCCAAATACTTATAAATGATGCATCATAAATTCAGAAACAAATATTGTTCGATATATTTATCCTTGAAAATTGCGTTACACAAGAAATAATAAAATATTCAATTTCAGGTTCGTCACATTTTATGTGAGAAACAATCCAAAGCACTAGAGGCAATAGAAAAATTAAAAAGTGGAATGAAATTTAATGAAGTTGCTGCTCAATACAGTGAGGACAAAGCTCGGTCTGGGGTTAGTTGAAACTATGTTGAAAAAAATTATCTTCCCAAGAGAAAAGTTTTGGAAAATCAGAGAGTTTTTGATTGCGCAAGTTGAACTTTGTCAATCTACATAAAGATTAAGTACCGGTAAAGCAAAAAATCAAAGCACAGAAGGTGCTGAATTTGTTTGGGTCTCAGAATGTAAGAAAGGTGCAGGTTGTGAGATTATATGTATAGTGCCACCAATGCTTTCCAGCGTTTTAATTGTAGTAAATTGGCTATAAGACTAATTGCAACACTGATATTCAATCCAATGTTTATTTGACTTTAACAATTTGAAAAAAAATGAGTTACCTTTACTGGGATTTGAACTCCAGACCTCTCGCTTCCTAAGCGAGCCCGAAAACCCTTCAGCCACGGTGAATTAATTTGTGAACGGGCTGAAGAAAACCATATTATTCTAAATTAGGGCTTGTAAGGACTTTAACTGTTGTTTAACACAGATGTAAATAATCCTGGAGCTTACTATAAGCATTTATATTTATAAAAAATCAAAGTGCTGCAAGTTCTGTGGTATTTTCTGATCTTTGCAATCTAAATCGTACTGTATATCTGTATGCATTTTCCTGTATAGGTTTATTTTTATGTATTATAATTCATTTTGCAAGGCACCAGAGTTTGATACATACGGAATTCTGCATAACTAGAGTTGCATCAAAAAATCATTTATGTTCATTTTTTACGACAGTTACACTTTATCCTTGCATATCATGGCTACTTCCTTAACAAAAACACTTAAAAAAGAATTTATCAGAAAAAAAATTTTACTCGACTGGGATTCGAACTCGAGACCTCTCACACACTAAGCGAGCGCGTTACCACTGTACCACGGAGAAGTTATACACAGAAAGTCTGAATAATATCAAGTCATTCTAAATTGAGAACTTCCATTGCATTTCGGGTTTGTAATCCTTATTAATTTCGAGGTATTTTGTTCAGGGTAAACCTGTTGTTTAAAATTGAAGTAAATATTTTAGCGAAAATCCTCTCGCCCAAACAGTCCGACATGTAGAATCTATATATTCCACTATTCGGTTTGTGTAGTATTCGGTTATAAATAGTATTTTCATTGATAAAATCATATTCATCCGCGTAATTTGTGATTGTGCATTTATTGACAATTCTATAAGCTAACGCTATTGTTTAACTTTACATGCGTTGTAATTTGTTGGATACTTGTAACAAAATAAAATATTTCTTTCTTTTAAATCGCTAGTTTTAAGCTGTTTTGAGAACTACTTGTTGTTAGGTTTGTTGTAAACTTCTGTGTCAGAGATTGAATGTCCGCTTTGTATTTAGTTATTTTCGATCAGAAAATACAATAAAACAATATTAGAAACCTTCGACCATTCGGGAATTACTTTGCTTGAAAATTGATGCGCCTGTCTTTGACCATCTTTACGCAGTGATCTCCCCTGAATTTTTCGGCTTTAGTGTACATACAAAAGGGAAGTAACCGCTTCAAAAAAGTGGACTACTTTCGGCATTTGCAATTAAGAACATTATACTCTGAAATTTCGCTACCATTATTTGTTTGGTCTGACGACCCAAACAAATAAAAAACTGAGTTAAAATTGAAGTCTTATTGATATGGAAGTCAAAGTATTTTTGAAATAACCATCAGCCCCTCAGCTTATTTATGTATTGTAAAAAAAAATGTCTGTTATAAATGATCATGTACTATAGTAAACAATCAAATGTTACAATAATTGACAATGTTGAATAAAAGAAAGCTTTAGTAAATTAAAGAACTGATTCAATCGCTTGTAAGCATTTTTTTGTTTTAAGTTAACAAAATTATTTTAAAATTACCAAGAAGTGGTTAACTGCTAGATAAAATTGTCAGTTTTCACTGGCTGCTTTAAATCACAGACCTAAATTGACATTAAGGCCTGGCTTTAACTTGATAGACTATATAGAGAACTCTGGTGAAAGCAGAATCTTAATTGCATCTGCTTGTATGTATATATATTCTGTTCAATGTGTTTGTAATTTTTGTTTTTAGGGTGACCTTGGCTGGATGACCAGAGGAAGTATGGTTGGACCTTTCCAAGAAGCAGCATTTGCCATACAGAATAGCACAACTAACAGTCCCATATACACTGATCCTCCTGTGAAAACTAAATTTGGATATCATGTAATAATGGTGGAAGGAAAAAAGTGATCATTTGTGTTTTGAACATATTCAGTTTTTAACCATTTCATGCAAAAGTGTTCAATTTTCACATTGTTTTAGATCATCATATTTAAAAATTGGTCATTAATTTGTGAGTTAATCATGATTTTGTTTAAGGTATGTTATGGCAATTGGTGTTTATATGATATTACTGTCTTAAAAATGAAAAAGGTTTTTGTTTTATATTTGTCCATTCATTTTTAATTGTCCGTTTTTAAAATAGAACTTTCTATGTACAATTTTGTATAGTTAAGAATACATCTACATGTATCTGTATTAGGACCAAAGAAGTTACAGTCAAGGCAATCTCAACACAGAAAAAGATTGATAATGAAAAAGTCCTGTTATGCAAAACAAAAACAAAAATGTCTCTATAAATTATTTTTCCATGCTACTAGTTTCTATTATAAAATTTGCTAACTATGTTTTCAATTGAAATACAATGATGATCTTTTATAGCTGTTGACCAATTTTGAATAATTTTGCTTTTACCCCTATTGGTTCCAAACTTGTTACAGATGTTAAATTTTATCGTGTGAGGACGCCCTCTAGCTAGCTTTCAGAAAATGGGTGGCTCTACTAAGGTGCTGTTTGGTGCCTTAAATTATTCACATAGCAGAGATCTGAGATCTTCCTCCACCAGTAAAGCTTCACATTGAGACTTGGAACCAGTCCAGAAATAAGTGAAGATTTGAAACAAAACACCTTATAGGTGGCATCTTTTTTTAATTGGAAGTCAATATTGCTATGTTATCTTAGTTTTCATAGGGATATAATCTAAAAGTTTCAAATGTAATATTTAGAAAATTTCAATGAAAAACAGTACCTATACATGTAAGATCCTGATGCTTATTATTAATTATAAGTAAAAATATAAAGTAACTTTGTTTTTATTTTTTCCATTTTTATTTTTTGACAAAAGGAAACTCGTGTTACTACTTTTGTTCAATTAAACCTGCTAAAATGAATTTGCCCTGCTCTGAATATTGGAACAGTCCATCTGCAGTCTAAGGGTTTTTCAATATAAAAAAACCCATAAAATTGGAGGTTCCAACAGTAAAGGCTGGCCTGGCTCTATACATTGTACGTGCACTAGCTTGTGGCAAAGCTAATTTCTTCTGTTCAAGTAGGTTATACAGGTTAAAATACTTGAATTTGTAACAATAAATGTGATTTGACGAATCACCTCAATGAAGATTATTATGTATTTTCACCTTTAAGGCTAGTGCTAATAAAACTAATAAAAGACAACCACAACTTTTTACCTCACTGACCTTAAATGTCTCTTACGATAGAGGTATACACACTGTATTTAGAATTTTGTCAATGAAAAAAAAAGAGCGATTACTGATCACAGCTACTGTGTAGGAGACACAAAAATTATTATCAGGGCAAACCATGTTTTTCATTGAAGGGCCATAACTCAGTCCAAAATCATTCAACCAGAAAACCCTTTTTAAATGCTACAGATCAATCCTGTCAAGTTTTATTGAAATTGCATTAGTGGTAAAAGAGGGTAGTCCAGACAAACTTTAAAAATAACAAGACCTGTTGGAGAACAGCGACGGTCGACTATTCGAAAAAGTTGTCACCAAGTATAAATAATGCTTACCTATATGAATACATAAAATTGTCCGAAAGGTACAAAGGCTTGTTATTAAGATGTTTTATTGAGTAAATCACTGCTTTATTATTATGAATGCATAAAATTTTCCCAAAAAAAGGCACAAACCCTTCAGTAGTTATTGTGATACCAGCCTTACACGCAAAAACTTTACCAAGAATTTGTAAGCTGAAAAAAGGGGCATAATTATGCAAAAAAAACAAATCAGAGTTATGGGACTTGTGCCAATCATGTAAGATAATCACAGAGAACAAGTGTGTGAAGTTTCAATCCATTCCCTTCAGAAGTTATGGAGATACTTGCGTACACACAAAAACTTAACCAAGAATTTCTAAATCGAAAAAGGCGCATAATTATGCAAAAAAGCAAATCAGAGCTATGGGACTTGTGCCAATCATGTTAGATAATCACAGAGAACAAGTGTGTGAAGTTTCAATTCATTCCCTTCTGTAGTTAAGGAGATACTTGCTTACATGCAAAAACTCAACCACAGGGACGCCGACAAATGAGTGACTGCATTAGCTCAATTATTCTGCAAATACTTGAGCTAAAAATCATTAAAGGGCCGCAACTGTAAACAAAATTCACTGAACCGGAAAATGACAATTGCGGCACAAAAAACAGACAATTTCTTATTGGAGATCTTTTACACCTGTGAATTTGTAATTTCCTTTATCCCGCATTGACAAACTGAATTAACCAACTAATATAGACATGACAATTTAAAACAGGAATTTGTAAAGTACAAGTCAATGTTTTATAAATAACTTTTAATGATGAAGTTTAAGGTACAAATAATTGCACAACATGTTAATTGTTATTAAATAACTTTGTAAAACATGAATTATTCACATGATTATTCTAACACATGATTATTCTTATATAACACATAATTATTCAAGTATAGCACTATGAAAGAAAACAGGAGGAAAAAAAAAAACTTTCCAAAACAAAAAGTCAATGAAGGCTCCGCTCTTACTGACTTGAGAAAAGACTATAACTAAATAAATTACATTTCATGTTTTAAGCCAACTGCCAGCGAAACTCTGTGCCAAAATACCCCTAAGATTTTAACTCAACAACAAGATGCTAGTAACATAGTTTTTGACCCCATAATGACCCGATATTCAACTTAAATCTAAAAATCTATAAAGAGTAAACATTCTGAGGTTGTGATAGTTACAATCCAAAAACAGATTGTGTCTGAAATGAGCATTATTTATACCTCCAGATGAGCAAAACTATTTCAATAAATCAAACTTGTGAAAAATGTACTAAGATTTTAGGCAAAGGAGAAAGATTCAATATTCAAGTAATAATTTACATGTTATTAGCAATCAATGGCAAATTTTTCATTATGTATAACTATATTTCTACTGTGTTACTAACGCATATTTTTGTAATAACATGGGTTATAAGTGCCATTTATGATGTGTAAATTGCTTCCTTTTGTTACTAAACAATATTATACATTTAATTTCAATATCAAAATTTTCATGAAAATATGCATAAATCTGGGGGCGTGTTGCTTTAAAATTTAACCTACTAACCTATAACTTGACACTTTATGTATAGGTTAGTGTTTGTTAGTCAGTATTTACAAAATTAAATTGATCTTGAACGGCCCAGCCAACCAATTTAGTGTTTGGAATTATTTTTATCAATAGTCTATTACATGTAACTACACTGATTAACAATTTGCCTTTTTACCAAAGTAAATGTGTTGCCATTCAATTAAAATACTGCAGTCCTATTTGACAAAATATAATTTCAAATGCTAATCAAGACAAACTAGAACTGCCACTATCATGGCGTGAATACCCCCGCATACCACTTTGTCAGAATCAACAGTGGCCATTTAGAGCTCAAGGACAACCTCCCTGCCAAATCTGAGGTTACTAAGCCAGTGCATTTTATAAGTTATGTATTCTACATGCTTCAAATGTGAAAATGTCAAAATCAATACATTGCAGACAGAACATTCTTTAGCAATTGAGAAGAAAAGCTTTTTTTTGTCAAGGTCCCTGTGACCTTGACCTTTGACCCAGTGACCTGAAAAATCAATAGGGGTCACCTTATAGTCATGATCAACATCCATGCCAAATATGAAGACTGTGGGTCAAAGGAATCTTAAGTGAATGGGTGGACAAACTTTTTGAAGTCAAAGTCCCTATGACCTTGACCTTTGATCCAGTGACCTCAAAATCACTAGGGGTTATCTACTAATCATGACTAACCTCCATTCCAAATATGAAGACTGTGGGTCAAAGGAATCTTAAGTTATTGGGCGGACAAGCTTTTTGAAGTCAATGCCCCTGTGACCTTGATCTTTGACCTGGTGACCTCAAAATCAATAGGGGTCATCTACTAATCATGACTAACCTCCATGCCAAATATGAAGACTGAGGGTCAAAGGAATCTTAAGTTATAGGGCGACAAGCTTTTTGAAGTCAAGGCCCCTGTGACTTTGACCTGGTGACCTCAAAGTCAATAGGGGTCATCTACTAATCATGACTAACCTCCATGCCAAATATGAAGACTGCGGGTCAAAGGAATCTTAAGTTATTGGGCGGACAAGCTTTTTGAAGTCATAGCCCCTATGACCTTGACCTTTGACCTGTTGACCTCAAAGTCAATAGTTGTCATCTACTTATAATGACTAGCCTCCATGCCAAATATGAAGACTGTGGGTCAAAGGAATCTTAAGTTATTGGGCGGACAAGCTTTTTGAAGTCAAGGCCCCTGTGACCTTGACCTTTGACCTGGTGACCTCAAAGTCAAAAGGGGTCATCTACTAATCATGACTAACCTCAATGCCAAATATGAAGACTATAGGTCAAAGAAAACTTAAGTTATTGGGCGGAAAAGTTTTTTGAAGTCAAGGCCCCTGTGACCTTGACCTTTGACCTGGTGACCTCAAAATCAATAGGGGTCATCTACTAATCATGACTTACCTCCATGCCAAATATGAAGACTGTGGGTCAAAGGAATCTTAAGTTATTGGGCGGACAAGCTTTTTGAAGTCAAGGCCCCTGTGACCTTGACCTTTGACCTGGTGACCTCAAAATCAATAGGGGTCATCTACTAATCATGACTAACCTCCATGCCAAATATGACGACTGTAGGTCAAAGGAATCTTAAGTTATTGGGCGGACAAGCTTTTTGAAGTCAAGGCCCCTGTGACCTTGACCTTTGACCTAGTGACCTCAAAATCAATAGGGGTCATCTACTAATCATGACTAACCTCCATGCCAAATATGAAGACTAAGGGTCAAAGGAATCTTAAGTTATTGGGCGGACAAGAAAAAACCGACGGACAGCCGGACGGACGGACAAGCTGATTCCAGTATACCCCCCTTACAACTTTGTTGTGCGGGGGTATAATAAATACATTTGTTAAGAATATCTAAATAATAAGTTAAACTCTGTAAATCAAAACTCTGTTAATCAAATCAACACAATACACAATTAATTATGATTCAAAAACATTTGTATTGTATACATGTTTTGTTAAATTATCTCAAAAGTTTTATACGGACAAGCAATTTCTTTTGCATTGTAAATTTCTGAAATGCAGTAATTTTCACACACAAAAAACCCCCATAAAATTCTAAATAGCTAAGAAAAAATAACATTTAACTCTAAATAGCTAAGAAAAAATAATATTTAACTCTAAATGGCTAAGAAAAAATAACATTAATAGAAAGAACATCATATCAAAAATCACAAAAATAAATGATAAATTTATCCTTAGCACTTGATACAAGCATCTTAACATTTGTTTGCTATGGAGTATTGGCTGCAAAATCTGAACCAATTCTACCAGTGCTGACCACGATCAACAAGCATCTCTAATCATGGTCATGCACTGTTTGCTATAGAGTATTGGCTGCAAAATTTGTACCAATGCTGCCAGTGCGGACCATGATCAACCAGCATCTCTAATCATGGTTTGCACTGTTTGATATTCAGTGACTTAGTAAGTACCTGTTTTGAGATTTTTCCTAGAAATGATAAATGATTTTGTTTAAATTGAAAAATGTAGATCTACAAGTCATTTTAAGATATGTAGCTGGATGAAAGTTAAATATGCTTATAATGAAATACAAACCAATACAAATGATCCCTAAAAAAAACAAAACACAATTGCAAGTCTAGTCATATACACCTATTTTTAGCACACATGTTGATTCAATTCCGCTTATACAAAATTAAACAAATGAATTTAATATCATTCTCTATGATCACATTACTCAGTTCCCATAATGACGAACGTTAAATATGCATATAATGAAATACAAAAAAAAATACAAAATTTAATGCTCCCTAAAAAAACACAGATTCAAGTCTTGTAATATTCACTCATATTTAGCACAAATGTTGATTCAACTCTGCTTTTACAAAGTTACACAACTAAATAATATCCTTCTCTATGTTCACATCACTCAGTTCCTGCAAGAAGTCATAAATAATCATCACCCCACCCACTTGTGTGAAAGAATGTACATTGTTTGTGTTGAATGTTTTGAGTAATCAAAATGCTAAACCAATGAAAAATCCACCAACAAAACTTCCAGCCAAAAACATGTTCTCTTGTGCAAATCTTCGTAACTGAAAGGAAAACAAAAGAAAATATTAAAATATGCTAAGTCAAGACCCACGTAACTATACTGAAAAGGAAAAATTCTGATTGGATAAATATTTTGGCAATGGTCTTCATATAACTACCGGTACATAATATTCAGTTTAATTTGATTTATTACACAATATTTGACAGGTACTTGAAACAAACTATTTTAAATGTTCTATATTGGCCTTATACTAAAATAAGCCTTAATGTATAGTATATAGCCCATAAAGAACATTAAAAATAGTTTGTTTCATGTACCTGTGAAATATTGTGTCAACAAAATTAAAATAGTTTAAGCTTAATAGCCTGCTGGCAGGAACAGATTCTACCCATGTCATCTGATCACTATCTGCAGTGCACTGTTTACAATTTGCTAATGTATATTTTGAAAATTTTCCCCAACAATGATGAACAAGTTTTGACCAGCTTCAAAGATAGCTGTGCAAGTACTAGTATATCTTGACCAGCACTGGTCACAAGGGAAGAATAAGTTGCCACCAGGTGGCAATGGGGCTAAGTAGCATCAACACTGTAAGGTCATATTGCAACTTTTCAGCTTTACTGACTAAGGAAGACCACAGGTGACATTTTCTGTATAATTTCAAACTAGCCTTTCCGGACATGAGTTTTGCTTTTATCAGATTGATTTGTATATCACTTTAATAAAACTCAAACATCCTTATTTAACATCTTAGTTTTAATTGATTGTAAAAAGCTCTGCCATAATGATATAGCAAATAAATAAAACAATAATTCCATACTCAAAATCGATACACTCAGGTTATCCATTTCTATGAGGCAACAGTTGTGCTTACTAAAACAACCAATTTTGGCGAGGATCAAGGAGGAGGCTGAAAATACAACCAATTTAAACAGATGACATAAATCGCCAATCTGCTAATGATAACCTTGCTTACTTACGTTATCGACTAGCTGAGGAAACTGTCTGTTCGCTTCACGCTGTACTTTACGTTTGGCCTGTGTCACTTCCTTATTGACTTTGGACCAATTTATCTGTATGTAACCTTGATGTTGAGCTATCTGAAATTTATATTTGAGACGTTTGAATAATTCTGTCTGGTGCTTGTCTTAAGCAACACGTGAGCAGATGGAGTAAAATAATTCTTCAAAAATATTACATTAAAGGCACATTAAGCCTTAGAAATTAATTAAATTTCTTTCTGTAGAATGGGCAAACACATGTTTCAATTTTTAGGGCCCAAAACAAAAAGGATTTTTACGTTTCAATAAATTATCGATAATTAAATATATTTCAATATAAGTTATTTCTAAGTTTATTAAAATAACATACGGTATTCGGACTAAAACAGTTCTGGACATGAAATAAAAGACAAAAAGTTTGATCCCACCAAACTTCATATTAAACGAATAAGTTAATAAATATGGAAAACAAATATTCAAACATCAGAATCCACAATTTTTACTCAAGTAAAGCGAATGGTTGTAAGTTTCAAAGCATTAACTAAAAGGGTCGTTAATAAGTGTAAGTGACAACATTTTTGGTTTATCTCGGCGGTCGATCCACCTTACTTGCTTTCCTGGATATCTAACCAGTAATTGCCAATTTCTCAGCATGTGACCTTCTATTAACGCGATATAATTTCTGGTTGAATGTGGAAAGACCATTAGACTCTATGTCAGAGGTCAACTGTCACAATTTATGCCTCGTCTAAGGATCAAAGCAGCAACCGTTAGATAACCAAACCGATGCTCTTTATTGAACTGAGCAGGCAAACATTATTAGCTCTATCTTATTGTTAAAACCATTAATGTGGTTTTTGTAGTGATTTGAATGAGGTGCTAGCAGATTTTCTGATGAGAAAAAAGCTATAGAAAACAAAGACAAGAGGGCCATGATGGCCCTGAGGTCGCTCACCTGTATATAGCCCCCCCCCCCCCCGGGCCAATTTTACCCAAGGGCTTTTATTTGTTTATTTGAACAGACTTGGTAGACACCCATAAGAAGATGTTTCATGCTAAACATCTAAGTTCTAGCTCATTGGGTTTTTTAAAAGAAGATTTTTTAAGTTTTTACTATACACATATAGTTAAAAACAATGACACCCCTGGGGCAGGGCCAGTTTTGACCCCCGGGCTTTTATTTGAACAAACTTTGTAGATATTTACTTAAAGATGTTTCATGCTTAATATCTAAACTCTAGCTATTTGGGTTTTTTCAAAGAAGATTTTTAAGTTTTTGCTATACACATATAAGGAAAATCAATGACCCCCGGGGCGGGGCCAGTTTTGACCCCAGGGCTTTTATTTGAACATACTTGGTAGACACCCATTAGAACATGTTTCATGCTAAATATCTTAGCTCTAGCTCTTTGGGTTCTTTAAAAGAAGATTTTTTAAGTTTTTACTATATGCATATAGGGAAAATCAATGACCCCCTGGGGCGGGGCCAATTTTGACCCCAGGGCTTTTATTTGAACAAACTTGGTAGACATTCACTAGAAGATGTTTCATGCCAAATATCTTAGCTCTAGCTCTTACGGTTCTTTAAAAGAAGATTTTTTTAAGTTTTTACTATATGCATATAGGAAAAATAAATGACCCCCCGGGGCGGGGCCAATTTTGACCCCAGGGCTTTTATTTGAACAAACTTGGTAGACACTCACTAAAAGATGTTTCATGCCAAATATCTTAGCTCTAGCTCTTTGGGTTCTTTAAAAAAAGATTTTTTTAGTTTTTACTATATGCATATAGGGAAAATTTTTGACCCCCTGGGGCAGGGCCAATTTTGACCTCAGGGCTTTTATTTGAACAAACTTGTTAAACACTCATTAGAAGATGTTTCATGCTAAATATCTTAGCTCTAGCTCTTTGGGTTCTTTAAAAGAAGATTTTTTAAGTTTTTACTATATGCATATAGGGAAAATCAATGACACCCTGGGGCGGGGCCAATTTTGACCCCAGGGCTTTTATTTGAACAAACTTTGTAGACATTCACTAGAAGATGTTTCATGCCAAATATCTAAGCTCTAGCTCTTACAGTTCTTTAAAAGAAGATTTTTTAAGTTTTTACTATATGCATAAAGGGAAAATCAATGACCCCCGGGGCGGGGCCAATTTTAACCCCAGGGCTTTTATTTGAACAAACTTGGTAGACACTCACTAGAAGATGTTTCATGCCAAATATCTTAGCTCTAGCTCTTTGGGTTCTTTAAAAGAAGATTTTTTAAGTTTTTACTATATGCATATAGGGAAAATCTATGACCCCCTGGGGCAGGGCCAATTTTGACCCCAGGGCTTTTATTTGAACAAACTTGGTAGACACTCACTAGAAGATGTTTCATGCCAAATATCTTAGCTCTAGCTCTTTGGGTTCTTTAAAAGAAGATTTTTTAAGTTTTTACTATATGCATATAGGGAAAATCAATGACCCCCTGGGGCGGGGCCAATTTTGACCCCAGGGCTTTTATTTGAACAAACTTGGTAGACACTCATTAGAAGATGTTTCATGCCAAATATCTAAGCTCTAGCTCTTAGGGTTGTTTAAAAGAAGATATTTAAAGATTTTTCTTTCGGTTGCCATGGCAACCAGAGTTCTGCATGGAATTAAATTCTTTGAACAATTTTTAAAGGTGACCACCAAAGGAACATTCCTGTGAAGTTTGGATGAAATTGGCTCAGTGGTTTATGAGGAGATGTCACTTAAAGCAAAAGTTTACGGACGGACGCCGGACGAAAAGCGATCACAAAAGCTCACCCTGTCACTTTGTGACAGGTGAGCTAAAAAACTAGGAAATTTTAAAGCAGCCTTCAGCTTTTTAAAGGTTATTTATGTTATTTTTAGATAAATTGTTTCATATAATTGTCAAATCAAAAGAAGAAAGGTGGTCTAATCTACTGGTCAACCCTCTATATTTAAATTAATAAAGCAGACTATTTGAGCCGTGTCACGACAAAACTAACATAATGGGTTTGCGACCAGCATGGATCCAGACTAGCCTGCGCATCCGCGCAGTCTGATCAGGATCCATGCTGTTCGCTATCAGTTTCTCTACTTGCTATAGCGTTTGTAAGCGAACAGCATGGATCCTGATCAGACTGCGCAGATGCGCAGGCTGGTCTGGATCCATGCTGGTTGCAAACCCATTATGTTGGTTTTGTCATGACGCGGCTCATTTGTTCTATTTTTAGCAACAAACATCACTGTCGTGTTATAAATAGCTCACTTGGATGCTGTTTTGAGGAAGGCTAACACATAATTGTTTTTCAAACTGAAGGCGGCTTTAAGAATACAGTTGTGGTCCAACAAGCAGAAAGCTATAAATTAATAATGTAGTAAACTAAGAAAAAAACGTTAAAAGTTTAATAGTTAAGAACTAAATAAAATTCTGTATAAACCAATTGTTCTAACAGTGGGTGGTACTATCACCCCACAACCATCTTATAGTGGTTGTTAATATAACCCTTCACTAATCTTTAAGACTGTCTATCCTACAACTGTCTTACAATGGCTAGTAATATAACCCTATAACCATCTTACAAAGAGGGGTTATATAACCCTACAACCGTCTTAACAGCTAATGGCAATATAATCCTACAACCATCTTACAATGGGTGACAATATAACCCTACAGCCATTTTACAGTGGCTGGTAATAATAAATATAACCCTTTAACTGTATATCATTGACTGGTAATATAACCGTATAACTGTATTTCAGTTAATTGTATAATAACCCTATAAAAAGTTGGTGAATATAACCTCAGTGTTCGAAATTAGCAGTAGTCCCATAGCCCGACTTCTAAATTTCTCCTCGGGCTACCAACTTTTCACAGTAACAAGCCCGACCAGGCTACTGTATTTTCAGAGACAATATGAACAACTGTTTTGAACAAATGAATCGTGCTAGTGAAATGTCTTTTGGGCTAGTGAATATTCCAATCTGATAGTACGACCAGCCTAGTGGATTCAAATCCGAATTTCTTACACTGTAACCTTACAAACATCATACAAAGAGTGTAATTATATAATCCTAAAACCATCTAACAGTGACTGGTAAAATAATCCTACAGTCATTTTACACTGGCTTGTAATATAAAACCACACAGTTATTATACATTGGCTGTTTATATACATTGTAACCCATACAACAGCAGAAATTGGAACACACTCCTTGAAGTTAGTAACAGATTTACGTAACATGTAACTTGCAAATTGAAACAGAACAAGAACAACAAGTACCTGTATAAGAAGCACTGTCGTGCCTAAACTGCAGGCAGCTATTTTGCCAACTTTAATAAACAAATAGCCTGAGAACCTGTAAAATAAGTTTGGAAGGTTATAAAGCTTGGTCATAAAAACATTTGTTAGAGCCATTAAAAGCAGCTTGGCCACATTTTCTCACTTTAAAGTTATTCACAGTGAAAGGCAGTTTTATAATTATGTAAAAAAATAAAATAACAACCAATTTCTGGGTCTTGGGTTGTTATTTACCATTATTATCCCTAAAACTGACACAATGTTCTGTAAAAAGTACTGTATTTTATGGAAAATTGCATATAAAACATCTTACAAAAATATTACACGGACAAACAGGGCAGTCCCACTATCATTTGAATCAATGGTATGCTAAATTTCATTATAAATTCCACAATCATGCCTGTTTTAGCAAGCATATTGTTATTCAGTTATTCATACAGTTAATCTTCGAAATGCAATACATTGTATATATATTCTGATTTGTATGTCATTACTTGAATGCAAAACACTGTGAAACACTTTAAGGGTGGGTGAAATGTGGCCAAGCTTCGAGTATGGGACATGACTGTGATAATGTATTACCCTAATTAGTAGAAGTGAAGCTCCAATACTGATGGCAACTGATTTACCAACCTTCACAAACAGATAGCCAGATGCACTGGAATTCAAACATATAGTAATCATTTTAGCTTGTTCATTAATTAATTCATGAAAATGTTACATTTATTTAAAGTACATATACAGTAACTTTGTACATCATATTGATTCAAGAACAGAAAAAAGTGTACTTTCCACACAAAAAAACAGCTGCAGACATTTCAAAAGATAATCTGTTTTGTTAAGGATAACACACATAAGGCCAGGGTTTTTAAAATTTACTTGAAATACCCTGAATAAAGCACAACCCTACTGATACCAGATTAAAAAGAATACTTTGCAAAAAACAGCAACAATTTTCATTCTGTCAATCAAAAACTACAAAATGAAAATCTTGGCTAACAAATTCATGTACCGGTATGTATAAGTGGGCCACATAACCATGTCAAAAATTTTTATTACCTCACTTATATACTTTAATAACAGAGAGTTAATGCATAGATCTTTTTTCATGCATTAAAATATGCAAACAAAGACTCATTTAAGTTGACCCAATAGGGCAAGGAATTTAAAGTCTGTGGGCATCTGCTGATCTAAATGCCAAAATAAAAAATACTTTGGCGCTAATCTTGCATGAGTATATATGTCTTATTTAGTAATTCCATCATACCAGGTTTTGTTTTCTATTTTTTTGTATAAAGAAAACATTTTGACATGCTTTCAATGTGCTAGTGTCATGTCATAACCATTTGACATTTATGTTTTGATAATGAAACAAATGGGCCAAACATTGCAGTAAGCTAATTTTACATGACACCCTGAGTAACAAATACAACAAGAGCTGTCGGTAGGACAGCATGCTCGACTATTCTTAGTGCTTGATAGTAAAAAAAATGCCTGATACAGTTACCTCCTCCTGTTTACAGGTTGGGGTCATGATGGTGAACAAGTGTGCAAAGTTTCAAAGCCATATGTCAATGGACTTTGAAAATATTTGAACTATTACAAAAACTTTAACGTAAATTCTAAGTCGAAAAAGGGGCATAATTCTGTCAAAATGCTTGATAGAGTTACCTCCTCCTGTCTACAGGTTGGGGTCATGATGGTGAACAAGTGTGCAAAGTTTCAAAGCCATATGTCAATGGACTTTGAAAATATTTGAACTATTACAAAAACTTTAACGTAAATTCTAAGTCGAAAAAGGGGCATAATTCTGTCAAAATGCTTGATAGAGTTACCTCCTCCTGTCTACAGGTTGGGGTCATGATGGTGAACAAGTGTGCAAAGTTTCAAAGCCATATGTCAATGGACTTTGAAAATATTTGAACTATTACAAAAACTTTAACGTAAATTCTAAGTCGAAAAAGGGGCATAATTCTGTCAAAATAATTGATAGAGTTACCTCCTCCTGTCTACAGGTTGGGGTCATGATGGTGAACAAGTGTGCAAAGTTTCAAAGCCATATGTCAATGGACTTTGAAAATATTTGAACTATTACAAAAACTTTAACGTAAATTCTAAGTCGAAAAAGGGGCATAATTCTGTCAAAATGCTTGATAGAGTTACCTCCTCCTGTCTACAGGTTGGGGTCATGATGGTGAACAAGTGTGCAAAGTTTCAAAGCCATATGTCAATGGACTTTGAAAATATTTGAACTATTACAAAAACTTTAACATAAGTGGTTACGCCGACGCCGACGCTCGGGTGACTGCAATAGCTCTACTTATTCTTATCGAATAGTCGAGCTAAAAACCTTGCATAAACAGAGGGTGCTCTTTCTATTTTATTCTTTAATACACGTCTTCTTTCTTCTTTAATGTATAACTGTGTGTGTCACCTTAGTGCAGTAAGGGGTTAAATTCTTCAATCTTCTAAATTTAATAGGAGTTATTCAGTTATTGCACTAAGGTGACAAATTATAAGATCAGAAAGTTTATTTACCATCCAGCAGCTCCCCCAATCACAACTTGTTTGGCTGCAGATTGTTTGGAAATATCTCCTAAGATGTTTTCTAGTCTACTTTTGTTCCGTCTAAAAGCACCGAGATCTAAAACTTCAAAATCATGCTCAATTTCATCCATATTCATGCTTCAGTGAATCTACACACTCACACCTGCAAAATAAAATCTGCCTTGTTACCAAACAACACAGCAGTTACTTTCACTTTGGACTGAGAATTTGACACATTGGAAAAAAGGTGCTTTATAGTTTCATATGATGATTTGATTGAACAGTTATTACAAACAATAATTTACCCTTATCATATTTAAATGCGCAATACAATAAATAATTCATTCATTTCGAATCTACTGCCTTTCTGTTAGGTAATTTTCACAAAAACTCAGCGGTCACATCTGTCGACTAACACAAGTTTGCAGTGACTTTGTGATAATATATCATCTTATAAACTTGAAATTATTATATTGACAGCTTTATATCCTATAAGAGTCTTAATTTAGATGAATCAATTATTTCCTACCATTTAGTACCAAGATTTTTAAATTTTGTGAAAAAATGTTGTAATCTGGTAATTATTGAGTTCACATATAAAGAAGAGTGCTGAAAAACGAGCAGTTAGTTGCACAGCCTTACTAAGTATCATTTCTTACTTTTCCGGGAATGAAGGAACATATATCAAATATTCAAACATATTCCAAATTAATATTACTGCAGTTTACATTGTTTTTTGGGAGGTAGGAGGGTTGCAGTGTGGGTAAAAGGTGGAGGGGGGGGGGGTGTAGTGACAAATCAACGTGCCAAAAACCTATAACTCGTTTTGGTTTAGCATAAATATCTTGAATAGGACAAGTAAATATTACAATTATTCTTATAAAAGCTGTGAATCATTTATGATGCAATTCCTTCGCATTATAAATTTGGTACGAGACCGTTTGAGTACGAATGATTTGAAGAAAATGAGTTTTCGCCGTACAGTTAATGTCAATTGAATTGGACATCCGCTGTTTATTATCATTAAGCAGTACACGTGATTGTTCAAGAATTATTCACACAATTCATAACACAATACTGAGAGAAATTACTTTTTGTGCACCCAATTCCACTTTTTGTTTCGCTTCTTTTTAATTCCCGTGCTTGACGTAATCTAATTAAATAGGGGACTACCGTAGTGATCTCCCCTTCATTACGGTCAGCGCCGAAGAACCGTACCATTTCCGGATTTTGTAGGAGAAACACACGTTACACGTGCAATTCTTGAAATGCTCTTAGAAACGAAATATTTCAGTTTCGAAACCTACATGTTTGCCTGTCTGTCCGTCTGTTTGTTGTCTGTCTAACCATTTTTGTACACGCATGCGTTTAAAACTAAATTTCTATAACATTAGGATCATTTGGTTTGACATTTCAAAAAGTCAAAATCTTCAGGGGACTTATCAAATGCTACTGTCATGTGGTCGATATTCGTGTTTTGAATATCGTTTTTATGTATCATTTTGTCCTTGTATTTGTATATATATCTCTTGTATTTGTTTGTTTACAGTCCGATATACAATCCATTATCCCATATCATTCCTATATCATTCCATTTCATCATCTCATTATAACAACTAATTTCTCATATTTCATATTGACATAATTTGCATGCCGGGTCTCCGTTTTTACAAACTTCCCGGAAAATCCACCTCACGCATGCGCACTTGAATATAAATATTTCTCTTGGTTTGCGCCAGAAATTGTTTATCTTGTTTATTTATTTATCAAGGCGTATGTTTTATGTCCTTACAGGTAATTGTTGTTATTCATTATGTTTCATTATCATGCATATTTCCATTGATCGTTTATGTATTTCGGAACTGTATTTATGCACTTGAATATAAATATTTCTCTTGGTTTGCGCCAGAAATTGTTTATCTTGTTTATTTATTTATCAAGACGTATGTTTTATGTCCTTACAGGCATAAACAGACCATTCATACATCTGAAAAAGGACCATACGACATTGGTGGCCAGTGTGGGGGCCATAATTTGAATAAAGTTGATTGATTATTTTCAAGTCTTTGTGTTTTTTCTCTTAAAATAAAATTGTTTTATTTCTATTGTTTGTTTTTTATTACATCTATATAGACCTAAACTGGTTACTGATGTAAATCATTTTTTTAGTGTATGGTGTACAATTTGGGCCAATTGAAATCATGAATTTTAAGTCACGTTCATTTTTTTGATCCAATCCATTTTTTTTTCATCATGGCGGATGGTACAACTCAGTCCTTAGACTATTCAGATGCAGATCTGGATTTTTTTGCTAGACAGTTACAGAAATCTGGTAAGTTTCAAGTTAATACAATGGCAAGTACACCTCATACAGTACACTCAAGTCATACATTTAATGTTACACCTACTCCTATACGGGAACATATCAGCAGAACAGGTACACATCAGGTTCACTTTCCTCCACCTGTTTATAGCATTCCTCCACCCATGCCTAACCCTCAACCATACTTGTCTTTTGTGACAAATAGGGACTTGGTACATGCCCGTATCCCTGAGTTACCTTCTTTTTCAGGAGATGGGAAATACAACTCGTCAATGTTTGAGATATGGCGCTATGATGTTAATTGTGTCATTGATGAGGGTAATTATCCACCATTTATTATCAGGGAGGCCATTCGTAAATCTTTGAAAGGCAGTGCCAGAGGTGTTCTTTTGCATTTAGGTGAAAATGCCACTGTTCCTGAGATCTTGAATGAGTTAGATGGCATTTATGGTAATGTTCATTCAACTGAAAGGTTGAAGGAACAGTTTTATAATGAACAGCAGAAGGTGGATGAGTCTGTTGCTGATTATAGTTTGCGTCTGGAGAGGTTGCTTAGCAGGATACCGTGCAATCTTGATAGGATGTCCAAGGATGAGATGCTGCGGGGTAGGTTGTGGTCAGGCCTCCGAGATATAGAGCTGAAGAATGCCTCTCGATTTCTTTTTCAGAAGGACCTCAACTTCAATACTCTTCGTAAAGAGTTGAGAGCCATTGAGGAAGACTTGCGCTTGTCCAGATTACCATCTTCTCTTACTCTTCCACCCAAGCAGGCAGCCCCTCAGGCCAATGTTTCTTTACCTACTACTCCTAATGAGTCTGTTCCTGCACAACAGTGTTTCACTACTGTAGATAGTAGACTTGCGTTCATTGAACGCCGCCTTTCCTTGTTGATCTTGTTTATCATATTTTCTCCAGGAAATAAGGGCCCTTTCTAAGCAGATGGAAGGCATGGAGTCCAGGCTGTCTAGTATGGAGAAGGAACTCAAGGGCTTGAAACAAGAGAGATCTTCCACTCAGGATGTCAAAGCATCTGCTAGTCCTTTAAACTACAGTCGACCTCCATCGCAGGGCAGATGAGTGGTCATACTTCCCCTTCTAATGCCCCTGCTTCTACATTTCCTCTAGTTGGCTCTTCTAATGAAACTGAAATTCTTATAAATGGCACTTATACTATAGCTTTGATAGATACTGGCTCTATGATTTCATCTATTGGAATTTCATTCTTCAAATCTTTAAAGCCCCAGTCTGTCATGTCACAGTTGTCAGATTTTATGTTGGATATTTCTTCTGCTAATGGTTCTAAGGTACCATATCTAGGATATTCAGTTCTTGATATTTCTTTTCCTTCTCTTTCATCACAATCTTTTTCAGCTCCTATTCTGATTGTTCCAGACACAGAGTACTCCAGCAGAGTTCCTTTGATAATAGGCACCAACATACTGAATGTTTTGAAGGCATCAGGAACAGAGTCAACATCATCTCCACTTTCAGACATCATATCTTCCTTGACTGACATTGTCACCAAACCTGTTACTCATCATCAGACTGTCATTGTGAAGCCTTTTGAAACAACAACACTTGAGGGCAAGGTGAGACATATTGGCAACATGTCATCTGGTGTTACAGAGTCTACTGATTCTCTTATGTTGAATGTGAGCCCCAGATTGGTTAAATTACCACCTGGTACTTCTTTTTGCAGGGTTCCAGTACGTGTTTGTAACTTGACTGCTAGAGCTATTACCATTCATCCAAGAATGACTCTTTGTAACTTACATGATGTGTCTGTTGTTCGCACCATAGATCCTTCAGAGGGCGTTGCTGATAAATCCCACAATTCAGACAAGTCTCTTGTTGACCTTGGTAAATTTCTATTCCCACTGAAACTTTAACTTCTGAACAGCATGTTAAGGCAACTTCCTTCTTCAATCAGTGGAAACATATTTTCTACTCTGGGCCTACTGATCTTGGTTCTACTGACTTGGTCGAACATGACATCAATCTGTCTGATCCCACACTTTTTAAAGACCCTTATCGACGAATACCACCAGGGATGTTTGAGGAGGTACGTGAGCATTTACGAGACATGATTTCGGCAGGAGCGGTCCGTGATTCCAAGAGTCCTTTTTCTTCTAATGTTGTGTTAGTAAGAAAGAAGGACGGGTCTTTGCGTTTTTGTATCGATTACCGGAAACTGAACAACCGTACAATCAAGGATGCTTATGCCCTTCCTCGCATCGACGAATCTATAGATTCTCTCATAGGTTTTACTATTTTCTCTAAACTCGACCTACGCTCAGGTTACTGGCAGGTCCCAGTCAAAGAATCTGATAAGCAAAAGACTGCCTTTAGTGTTGGGCCTCTCGGATTCTATGAGTGCAACAGAATGGCTTTTGGTCTTACCAATGCCCCTGCAACGTTTCAGCGTCTGATGGAGCGTTGTATGGGCGAACTTCTTCCTTCGTGACTGTTTGATTTATCTCGATGACATTATCATCTTTTCTGATTCTATTGATTCTCATTTCCGTCGCCTTCAGTCTGTCCTTCAACGTCTTGAGATGCACAATCTTAAACTTAAAGGGTCCAAGTGTAAATTCTTTAAGCCGCAAGTCCAGTATTTGGGACACATTGTTAGTGCTGATGGTGTGAAGACAGATCCTGAGAAGATTGAAGCACTCAAGACATATCCTGTACCTACTTGCCTTAAGGAGTTGCGTAGCTTTTTAGGTTTCTCAGGTTATTACAGAAGGTTCATTAAAGACTACGCACAGATCGCCAAACCTTTGAATGACCTTCTTATTGGTATTCCCACATGCAAAAGTTCTTCTAAGAAATCTAAAGTTCCTTTCAATTGGGGTCCAGATCAGCAGAATGCCTTTTGTTCTTTGATAGATAAACTTTCTTCTCCTCCAGTCTTAGCTTTTGCTGACTACAATAAACCATTCATTCTTAATGTTGATGCCAGTACTAGCGGTTTGGGAGCGGTTCTTTACCAGGTTGGTGCTGATGGTAAGGAGCATGTTATATCTTATGCCAGTAGGGGTTTGAGAGCAGGAGAAAGACATTATCCTGCTCACAAACTAGAGTTCTTGGCTCTTAAGTGGTCTGTCTGTGATAAGTTCCATGATTACCTCTATGGTAATTCTGTGGAAGTTAGAACAGACAATAACCCACTTACCTATGTGTTTTCATCTGCCAAGCTTGATGCTACCAGTCACAGGTGGTTATCCTCCTTGTCTGCGTATGACATCAACTTGCGGTACAGAGCTGGTAAAGAGAACATCGACGCCGATACTCTTTCTAGAATTCCTTCAGCTTCTTCTCTTCCTGATTCTAACATTCTCCTTTCAGATGCTGTCAAGGCTCTTTTGTTTTCTCAATCTGAAGGTCCAGGTCAACTTCCAGCTGTTGAATGTATTTCTTTTCATCAAACTGTTCTTTCTCTTAATCCCAGAGACGAGATCGAAGTCGGAAGCAGCCTTAAGTCAATTAATTGGAAGAAGGAGCAGCAAGATGATCCAACACTTTCCCGTTTAGTTCAACTCTTTGAAATTGGTCATAGGTTAACTGAACGCCAAAAGTCACATGAAACGGCCAAGGTTCGATCGTTTCTGAAGGAATGGAGCAACCTTTACTTTAAGGATTCAATTCTTTACCGTAAAGGTACTGCAAATGGTTATCCTGTTACTCAGCTTGTTCTCCCTGAGCATATGCTTGATTTAGCTTTCCAGGGTTTGCATGATGAGGCAGGACATCAAGGTTGTACAAGAACGATTTCCTTGTTCTGTTCACGTTTCTTTTGGCCTCAGTTAGAACAGTATATTGAACACAGGGTTCGAAACTGCCCCAGATGTATCCGGAGAAAGTCATTGGATAAAACGACTGCTAAGTTAAATCCTATTCAGTCGAGTTATCCAATGGAAATTGTCTGTATGGATTTTCTTTCTCTGGAGATGTCTCGGGGTGGTTATGAAAACATCTTGATCATTACTGATCACTTTACTCGTTTTGCTCAGGCTATCCCTGCCAAGAACCAAACTGCACATACTACCGCTAAACTTCTCTTTGAAAATTTTGTTTGTCACTATGGTTTTCCTAGTCGGTTCCATAGTGATCAAGGGCGAAATTTTGAAAGTGAAGTTATCCGGGAGTTGTGCAAGTTGGCCAATATTGACAAGACCAGGACTACTCCGTATCATCCACAGGGTAATGGGATGCCTGAGCGCTTTAACGAAACCCTCTTGAATATGTTGGGGACCCTGGAAGATGACAAGAAGGTCAATTGGAAGTCTCATGTTCCCGCTCTTGTCCATGCCTATAACTCTACTCCCCATTCTTCTACTGGTTATTCTCCCCACTTTCTCATGTTTGGTCGCCACCCTAGGCTTGCCATCGATGCGTTTCTTGGCATCGAACCAGACAAATCTCCTGTCAAGGACCATTCTTACGTCTCAGGTCTCCAGAACCGACTAAAATTCGCATATTCTGTTGCACTCCGAGAGGCCAAGAAACAAGGCAAGAAACATAAACGGTACTATGACCTCCGTGTGAGAGAAGCGGAATTGAAGCCCGGGGATCGAGTACTGGTCCGAAATGTAGGTGTTCGGGGAAAATCCAAACTTGCCGATAGATGGGAGAAAGATGTCTATACCATTCTCAGCCAGCCCACCTCTGGAATTCCCATCTATGAGGTGAAGAAGGAAAACAGCAAGGACAGGTCCAGGGTTTTGCACAGGAACCTTTTACTTCCCTTTATGGGGATGCCTTTGTGCAAAACAACTGAGTCCTTATACAAGCCCGCTTCCTCTGACTTACATTCGGATCAGAACTCGTTCTCCAATCCCTCCTCTGATATTTCCATTACAGCTCCGTTAGATTCCAATACCTCACTTACATCAAGTCCATCAAATGTTTCACAAAGCAATTCTTCCACAATACATGATTCTAACAATTGTATGTCAACTTCTTTTACAGGAACATCAAACAGCAAACAAGATGCCACGTCAACAACTCAAACTTCTTATTCTGTTCCAAATAAAACATCTCATTCTATTACAGGTTCAAAATATGTCATTCCTGCACTGAGAAATCAATCTAAGGACAACAACAACAATTTACAGAGGCAGAAACGTACAAGAAAGAAACCCGGATGGATGCTTAATGATCACTGGAAATTAGATTAATGCTTTTTCTTTCGATTTATAGTCTAGGTGTGTTTCAACTTTGAAGTTAGGCGTTGTTCAGTACCTGATGTGTTTCGTTTTATGTTTTATACCATGTACCATATATTTTACCTTGGTAATTTATAAATGTACTTTACAGTACTTTAAAAATAAAGAATTTATTGTTGAGAGTGCACCTCTTCAATGAATTCACAGTTCTACTGATAAATTAACATTTTGTTTCCGCGTGACATATATTTTTCGCGATTCGCGGCATACGGTATTTTTGTGGAACATGCTTGAGTTTAAGGTATTTTGCCCGGGTATTATATATTTACTCACAGGTTGTAATTGCCTTCAGTATTTAGATTTAGTTATGTAGTACCTAGTAGTTTAGTTACTTTATGGTCTAAGCTTACTACTTGCAATGTCTGATTCAAGCTCTTCCTCTTTAATATTTTATGAATGTCGGGGCGACATTCCCCAAAGTGGGGAAGTATGTCATGTGGTCGATATTCGTGTTTTTGAATATCGTTTTTATGTATCATTTTGTCCTTGTATTTGTATATATATCAGGGGCGTAGCCAGCTGTTTTCAACTTGTAGGCACATAAAAGGGGGTCTGGGGGCTTAGCCCCCGGAAGTCAAAAACAAGTTCAGATTAAAAAGAGCAAAATGCACGTTCCAAAGTATGTTCAAGGAAAATTATCAAAACAATAATTTTAAACTATGAATTTGATTAGATGCATACTTTATTGAGGATGGTAAATCATGCGCACACACTTGATTCGACTATACGGCTTGAACTCACTACCAACTCCACTCTCGCCTGTTTTATTGTATTTTTGGGACTTTTGAAAATGTTAATTTCTTGACCAACTTGTAGGCCCGTGCCTACATGGCCTAATAGTAGCTACGC